CATATAGTTCAAGTATGCATGTATATGCAGGTATTCATATGTACATGTAAATATTTAGTACTGGAATAAAAGTGCCACTTATTCAGGTCCAATATTATTCATTTTTAACTCACCTCAACGAAGTTGGGGGAGCCTGTGTAATACCCTCGGCGTCGGTGTCAGCGTCGGTGTCCCAGGTTAAAGTTTTTGGAGCAGTTTTCTTTTCAAGTACTTCTATGCCCTATATCAATCAGAGATGCATGGAGGATGCTTCTAGTGACTGTTTCATTGTACATACCAGTCAAGGTTTCAGATGCTGGATTTGACTTGCATTTTCTGGATGAGTGACTCAGTTTTAAGTTTTTAGATAAGTCCATTCCCAAGCAGCAAGCCATATCAGACCAAAATTGCATAAATGTTGCATCTAGGGATGCACACTTAACTAGATTAATTATTAGTTTAGTGTGGGACTTTGCCTTACTTAAAGACAACATTCGTTGAGGTGAGCTCTGTAATCTCTGATTACCTATGTTTTGACTGGGTTTGAGGGCAATCACAGACACAGTGTTCTGTCGGACTGTGGATGCAAGAACCAAACTGTTTGCCTGAGGCCATTAGGACTCGGGCAAACATGCAGTTTGGTTAGTGGGTTTGGCAGAACACATTTGCCCAAAAACACAGTCAAAAAATGTTTATTATATCTTTTACTTCTTATTTATTGCGACATTTTGTGCTGACTTCAATATTTGCAATGAATATGACAGAATTTTGATGTAAATTTTTTATTTTGTTTATCTGCACTTTGGATTTAACTTGCTCAATTCTGTAATGGTCAAACACCATCAAATGCAAATAGGATATAGCTCAGCTCTGATCCAGCCTACATTTAGGAATGTATTATGTGACACAAAAACCATCATAGCGGTCCAACATTTCATCAACTGGTCCAACATCTCATTGAGCAATAGTGCACATTTTTTGGGGGGGGGGGGGCATTAGGGAGGGGGAATCACTCAGTAAAACATTGGACTTGATTGATTTTTTAGTACATTGTATAGATTTATAAAGGAAACAATTTTTAAAGGCATAGCATAAAAATTGTATCATTTGCTTAAGAAATTTTGAAAATAAAAGTATGAGAATGTGCAAAAACCCTAAATATCTCAGATAAAATGATTCATGTTTCCCTACATATGTCAGAAAAGTTGAGTCATAAAAATCATTACAGATGTATTCAAACAAAATAGATCTCAATCGCTGAAATGGAAAGATGCACAGATGTCTAATAAATGTTATGAATTTATCTTCCAGATAAGTGGTAAATAAACTTCACTGTCATATCCTTCACTGAAAAATACAATCACATGTAATTAAAATTATCATACAATTGCATCATATTAAATTCATTATTTAGTGTGTCTATAATACAGTACAATTTATACAGTAAAATGCTCTTATAATGAATTGACACTTACAGCGAAGTGATTTTCATTCCCCGTGGCTTTAAATTATATTATGAACTTAATGGATATATGACAAAGTATGTTATTATGAAGCAAAATTCTCCATCCCTGGCACTTTGTTATAAGAGTGATTTACTGTAGCTAGAATATAAGCACAGCAAAATATAAAATAATGCCAAGTTCCTATGAATTAAAGGTCTAACAAAACTTGAATTGATAAAGTACTTATGAAAAGTTAGATAATGTACATAAAGGTAATTTTTTTTAGCTTTAAAAGCATACATTTTTATGTAATAAATAATTTTTGTGTCTGAACACTGACAGTGAACAGCAATGTGCCAGGTGTTATGTGTTTCTCACAGTGGTAAAAATGGGGAAAAAATGTTAAAATAATATTCACATTTTTTTTTCAAGATTTTATATGGTTTTAAGAACATCTGGATAGTAATCAATCTACATGTATTTAAAAAAAACATGGTATTTCAATACAATTGCATTTATAACAAAGTTAATAAAACTTCATACATGTGCAGTAATTGTTGTCAGATATGAATTTCTATATAAATAGACATTTTATATCTTGGGAAAGTTTTAACTTAATTGACCTGGATTGTAAGTGATTAAAAGTAGATTGGATCAAAGCAGGATGTTTGAGAGGCGAAGGCAAACCTGACCAGGCCCCAGCTGCAGTGATATTTCGTATCAGGATATACTGTATACCTGGTCTATTCTAGTGATGTCTGGGTCATTTGTATTCTATACTAGGTCATAGTATATAAATAGTGCACGTTTTTGAGGGTAACAGTTGAAATTGACACCCCTCGGAAAACCATTGTCAACCGACGCGTCAGCGGAGGTTGACAATGGTTTTCCGAGGGACGTCAATTTCAACTATTACCCTCAAAAACATGCACTTTTTATTTTATTATACTGAATGTCTTATTTTATATCGGATATGTCATAAAAAAATTTGGAGATTGTCGTTAAGTTCACGCTTAGAAAGCTTTCAAACTCCCCGCATCTATTTTTCTTAATAAGAAAGCTTCGGAAAAGATTTTCCAACCTCTTTATTGTTTGTTTGCTACTCAAAAAGTCCTTTATCATCTAAAGTTAGCACTCGCAAGGATGTTTCTTCTGTCGTTTGTTGTTTTCAAGTAAGCTACATCGGACGCAAGCTTTTATTGACGTCTTTTATTCGGCTTCTTTCAAATGCACAACCGACGTTTTGAGAATTCTACGGTGAACCGTACGTGCATGATTTGAACGCGTGTGATATTTTCGTAATGTTACCCGTTGTCAAGCGTGTTGCTAACGCTGAGGGTAACATTACGGATTGTTAAATGCGTCTAAACCAATCAGATTTTAGTATTTAACATGAAAGTATAATAATTATATTTGTTGAATGTTATATCATGTGTCAGACCTTTATGATTTATTTTACACTAACCTTTCGTCGTGAGAGAAAGTAATATAGACTCTGCTCACAAGAAGGGAATTTTTGTTCAATTTGACAATTTAGAAGTTACCTGAAGATTAAAATGAAATTCAAGCAAACTGAGTAAATTAATTACCATATAGGGACAAAATTTGAATCAAATTATTATTTTTAAAGAAAAATATTAATGTAATTAAAATTAAATTAGCATTTTTAGATTTATCTCCCTTGGTTAGCAATAGGGGTCTGTAATGCCTTTGAGCTAATGATCAGTGTATAATTATGTCATATTTGACTAGGGCTGGGACGAGATATCAATAATATCGATTCAATGTGAGGATGATACGCATATCGATATTTATGAAGAAATATCGACATATCGCCCAAAAAATTCTGACTTATGTTTTTCTTTGTTTACTTAACATTTTGGGTTTAATATATAAAATAAATATGCTTAATATAAATATAAATATGAAATACATAATAATTAAGACCACTTGTGCAAAATAATTAAGTTTTACAACAGATATGCAACTTCTTTGAATAAATTATTCTTATTTGTGAAGAAATGTTTTGTTCATTTCAATATAAAAAAAGAATTTATAACCAATTAAACATATCGTGATACATATTGTATCGTGGCTCAAATATCGGGATACGTATCGATATAGAAAAAGTTATGTCGTCCCAGCCCTATATTTGACTAAGTAGCTAATACAAGCACAGGCATTTGTTTCAAACAGTACACTAGTTTTCTACTATACAATAATTGTATAGTAGAAAAACTAGCGTACTGTATGAAAATAATTTAAAATGCCTGTGAATACAAGCTAGGTCATCATTTTAGCATCTCCATCAACATTCCAGGAAAATCGCCATGACCCCACCCACACAGTACAGAGAAGATGATTACTTAAATGATTGTAAAGTGTCTGATAAATAGTACAGACACTAATACCAGAGTGTATACTAAGGTCATCAGACAGGAGTGGTATATACATTGTATAAAGGACATACATTTGCATATAATGAAGAATGGCAGGTCAATATTGGTCAGGATGACCATGAATTTCTGTCTTAAAATACTTCACAGATAATGACCAGTAAGAGTGGTCATTGAAGTTGTTTATCGGAATTTATACATAGACTACAGAGTAAATTTAGTAAGGCCATTCCAAGTTTTTCTTTGTTTAGCATCCACCCTAAATTCGAAAACTTATCTTTCTATCCAGAAAAAAAACACACAAACCAAAAACGGAAAATTTTCAGGTACATCACTTTGAAAAAAAAGAGATGCCGATCCCAAAAGAGTCAATTCCTTTTCAAAGATTTGTATTTGTCAATTTTAATTTGTGTTTGTTTTTAATTTCATAACCTCAAAACCAATCCATCCGCAGACACTAAACATAGAAAAAACTTGGAATGGCCTAATGATTGGTTGTTACAACCTGCAAACAATTGTAATTGTATTTAATGTTCATTGCATGTAACAGGAGGTTATAGAGTATGGGTGATGTCAGCAATTGTTGAGGGCTAAAAATGTATTGTTCAAAATCAGGGGTTATGATTTAAGCACACGTACAATAACTTGCACTTAGAGAATTGTGAACCTGCATGACAACAAGTAATGAAATATCTACATTCCATTCTGTAGTTTTTCATTCTGTAGTTTTTCATTCTGTAGTTTAGTGATGACAGATGACATATTAAAAAAATAATGCAACATGCAGTCACTTTTTCTCAATCAATTTTAGTGAAGTATTCTTTGGTAAATTATGTAATTTAAATATAGAAAAAAAATGAAAAGAAGGCAATATAGTATTTCTTAAAAATAAAAACATTAATGCATCAATTTGGTCAGTTTTGATATATAATATCTTAATCATAATTTTACTGTCCAAGCATGCAGAGGTGTTTCAATGGTAATATATGGTTACTTAATACTATGATATACATGCCTGAAGGTAAATATACCTTCAATAGGTAAATTAACCTTCCAGCATAACTGGTTTGATCAATACAATATTTTATCCCTGACCAGAGGATCTTGCCTCGGGTTTCAGCTTAAAAAAAATCCAATAAATGGGATGGAAATTGATAACTTTGTGTTGGAATATTTGCAGGTGCCTGGAAGCATCAACCACATCATCCATCACCATAAGACAATTCCTGTCTAACAGAGAAATGTGCAGGATCTAGTGGGAAATAACAGGACAATTAGTGTTCCTTCAGCTGTCGTGGTAAGTATGTATAAAATTTATATTTTATTCATTTTTTAGGCCATGAAGATGAGCGCAGGGGTTCAAAGTAATTATAGTGCTTTCATATGTTTTAATTGACATGCAGCTAATCAAACAACATGCACTTTGAAATAGCAACAACAAAGGGTTGTCCAATTGAAATTATCAGCAGCACAGTGATATTGAAATAATGTCTGAGAAAAAAAAATATATCAGTACTTGCTTCCTTTATGATGGCCATCTCATTATGTGTATGATAATTGTGAGGTTGATACAAGGAAGAAGTTCTATTGTTTATCACCTATGGTTTCAATAAAGATAAATCCTTCCTGTGTGGTTTATATTCCCTTAATTTCCTCAATCAGCTCTGCACCTGCTTGCACAGTGGGACATTTTTGTGCTTTGTGGAGGTGTTGATTTATATGGTTTTTGAAGATAATGACATTTCTTTTAAATACAAATGGGAAAGGTCAAAATAATAATTCAGCTATTGTGATTACTGTGCACTGTTGACATCTTTTCCTCATGGAGGGGATAATATGGGTAAACCATGCATGGTCAGTTTGATTAAAATCAAACCTTCACTATAGCTTCAATGCAGCAATTGTTAAAGAGATACATGTGGTGAAGATTTGATTTTAATCAGTGTCTGCATGGTCAGATTTTATATGGTTCATGGCCACTGATGCCCACAGACTAACAAGACAGATTTCTTATCACAAGAGTTTGTAAACAATTTTCAAGTGTCAAGAGTGAGTAAATTTCATATCTTTATGCATAGTCATTTGGAGGAACATTTTATCACATTGATCTAGAATTTTGTCCAATTTCCCATTATCATTTGATCAGTATGGTAAACATTATCAGACACCCAAGAGGTTATATCTAATCAATATACACTGGAATGTACCACAACAGTGTGTTTGGTTAGCTTTTCTTGGTTTCCCGAACACAGAATTTGAGGTCTTCCTTTCATTCCTAAAGATAATGCTTGAGTGTACTCAGATATAAAAACTAGTAATCATATTTATTACAGAGATTTTATCAGTGGAAGAGATGAGTCATTCCTAGAGAATAACAGACTTAATTCTCATTTCTAGAGGTCAGAAAAAGATGGAGATTTATTTACTAATTATAGGATATCATATGACAGAAATATGTAGGAAATGACTTATTGAAAGTAAAGCAGGATTATTAAGATATGTTAACCTGATAATATTGTGTGGGATTTACAAGATTATAAAGTTTCTCTTCCTTAGGGGGAGGCATTATATATAAATAAATGCAAGGAATTCTATGTCATTAACTGATAGGTACCATGAAAGCATTGGGATGGTAATCCATCATCCAGTAAATTAAACCTGCAAAATCCACCTGTGTTTATTTATATTTGAAAGGTATTAAGTTATCTTCAGTGTTGACTTAAGAATATCATTACAGGAATATGATGATATTGTAAAATGATAATTCTATGCAACAGAGTTGAATCTTTAATTGAGAGTGTCTGGGTCTTATTGTGTTATTTATGTTAAAGAAATGAAATGCTGTAAGATTTTTTTTCTAATGTTTGCAATTTAATAGGTCATAAATTTTTTTCATGTTGAATGTGCTATATGATTTGCTTCATGAAGAAAATTAACCCTTAAAACAGAATGCATTTCTGCAATAAAGAATATTTTATTTCACATCAGAATTTCTATTGGTGCATGCAATTAAGTTTTATAGGAATGTAATAGGTTGTGAAAAAAAACAACAACAAAAAACACCGCAATAAAGTAGTTAAGCTGTCAGAGGCAGTTGGATAAAATCGTCCAATTTCCCTAGCTTTTCATTCAAGTATTTTGAGATTTAAAAATTATTTACACAACTTCTTTGTGACTGTAAGAGACGATTACAGGGGGTTATGAGTCAGAATCTCAAGACAAACTGAAATCTTTGTCAACTTGATCAGTGTCATTAATTTTCCATTACACTGTGTTGACTTGCTTTATTTCCTTGTTTTCTCTTCCATTGCAGAACAGGAAAAACTCTCAACAGTGGAGAGGGCATTGAGAAGATTACTCTTTTGTGTACAACATACTGTTTGTATTAGGTGAGTTAGTGAGGTTTGTGTAATATTTAATAGCCCTCAAAGTAGTAAATTACTTGTGCAGTTTGGGATTCAGTAGGGATGAAGGGGATAAGGTCATCTGATCAACACCCTGCACCCCAACACGTACCCCCCCCCCCCCCCCCTCCATTACCCACCTTCACCACCCATAATTTTTCTAGATTAATGGTGTGTCTACCTTATCACAAAAACCTTATGGTTACCCTTTTCCAAGAACAAATGTATTTATAGGACTGACTTAATTGTTTTGTTGTTAAGACAAGGCCAAACGAAATTATGTAATGAGAGACAACCATTGAATTAAGAACTCTTCATCAAGGACTAAAATTATCTGAGACAAAAAAAAAAAAAGATCATACGTAAATTTATTAGATGTAATGTTTGGATATAGTGCTAGATTATTAATTCTGAAGAAAAATTAGGTCATGTTGTGTCTAATACCTCAAAGAATTATTCGCAGAAGTTGATATTACTTGTGTGTATAGAAATAATCTTTTAGCAGGGATTTGTCAGTACATTCAAATGATTGTAGGAGTGTTGATAGATTCTTTCATTCATAGAGTCATAATGACAACATTATGTAATAAATTGGTTCATTGTGAATGGATAAATGGTATGCCCTATTGAATATTCATGAATAACGATCCCCACTGACAGCCAATATACATTTACACCTGTGTCGCAATTAACACCTACTACCAAGGAGTCAAGGTGTTTTAAATTACGACTTTCGTTTTTGAAATCTACCTGTCGTCAGTCACAGAATTACATTCACCTACAAGATAAACAAGGATTAAAGCTACTGAAGTTTCTCATGTAGGTTGAGTTTTGATAAATTGTAACTGAGGATGTCTATGGAAGAAAAAGAACATTTCATTCTAATTCTATAAAGTGGTCTTTAATGTTTTTTTAGTGTGTGGATTTACGTGTAGATGTGTATGTTTCAGGGTGTCCTTTCTGCGATAAGGAGAAAAGACAGAAGAGTGAAATAATAGGTGGATTGAAGAAAGTCTTATCGTTGGATTCTGTGTAAACAGAGATACAGGTAAGTAATGAAGCTATGATTTCTTTTGTACGTACAAGTATGTACAATATTTTATTTTTATCATATTCTGTTTTACAGAATTTTTCATGTGTACTACTCTCTAAATGGTATATTCTAGATCTGAGATTGGGTTAGGAAAAAAGAATTAATTACGATCAGTTGTACTTTTTATTATTCATTATACACATTTGGTTACACACATTAATTCTTCTTCTTTTTTTTTTTTTTTTTTTTTGGTATCAATTGATACCATCAGAAATGTAGTTTTGTTATTATTCTTAAAATAGTTTTTTCTTATCATAATTGTCATCACTGATTTGTAGACAGACTTGCCATAATTTATGAACTTCGATCATCATAATTAAGTTGTCATGTACAACACAGTTGTTGAACTCTATGCAGTTAATGAAACACACCTTTATTGAAAATGATAATTTTCAACTAATAGGATTTGTTTTGGCTCCGAAATATAGGTGTGTAACATATATGTGCATGTGGGCGTGCAATAATATGCACTTAATGCAGGGAAGAGTTTTAAAAGAACAGAAGAGTTTTAAAAGAACATTCCTCTATTTATTGAATGGGCAAGATCAGCTGTATATGTATATATATGTTGATCCAATATGGGTGTATTATTATTCACTCCTGAATGGACCTTTAAAATTATGGATATAGATTAATTGGTCAAGAGCTCTTTATATTCAGCCTATATGTGTTTCATTATAGTCCAGGGAGGCTATAGGTAGTATAGACAATATAATCTGCAGTGTGTATTAAGAAGCGGTGTTATAAATCCCAGGTTAAGGCTGAGCTGAATGTGTTTTGTTTCTAGTGTTAAGATCGTATTGTATGGGGCTTGTTGAGTTCTGGCTTTGTTCTTTTGTATATTCAGCGAGGATTTTAAGGTTAGATGGTTTGTTAAGATTAGTTCTTTTAATTTTAGATTGTTTCATGTTGTTTGTTTGGAATATAAACCTAGATGACTTGGGATTTTTTTTTTCTTTTTAAATGCTAAAGTGATCTGTTGTGTGTATTCTTAGCAGTATTTTTGAATCAAGGATTTATTTTTTTTTTTATTAATCTATAGATATTAAGCACAATAAGCTTTTATTGCAAAAATTATATATCAATTTCTATCTTTTTTTAATATCAGGTGTTGTAAAAACATTTCTTTTTGGTCTTGACTTGCGGCATGGTTTTGATTGACATGTTTGAAATGTTTGTTATTTCTTTTAAAAGGGTTAATTGACATGTTGATATCAATTATGCACTAATTAAATGGCTCATGTACGATCCATTCATAATAAACAGACCTGTAAGCTACCAGAATAATTATCTATTAATTAATTGGCCAATGTTCAGTACAAGTTAATTAGTGTACATTAGCTTACATGTGCAGTGTTATGGAGACAGCTTTGTTTTCTGGTCATTGGTCATTAATTCAGTGATTCACATAGACTGCTCATTCATATGTTTATAAGTATTTGTGCTGATTGACCCTAATGTTATTCTGGTCAGAAAAGTGGTTTGACAGTCAAGGCATTTTTCTATTACAATAATAAGGTAAGTGCAAAATGGTGCAATCAGAAATTATTTATAAAGCCTAAGGAAGAGATTCTGAAATTTAATTATTTTATGGTTTCTACAGTAATTAATCATTAAAATGGCTTATAAATTAATATTTATTTTTTTCATTTAACCCCTTTTCGTACTTTTCTTTAAGAAATTAAAGTTATCGATTATCAGTGACCCTATAATTAAGAAGCAGTCATGGACAAAATATTATACTTATCTAATATATATAGAGATGTATGTTTTGCATATGGTGTATTGGTGCATTGTGAGTTGAATTATGAGTTACTGCATATGTGATATTTACAGCATTTTTGACATTTTTACAGTTAATGAGACAGATACCTAGTGCTATAAGAAGTACTATAAGTGACTTTTATTTCTGTGCAGTGTCAGTCAAAGAGGCAAAAAGCATTGAAGTATAGTATACAGTATACATGTAATACACACACCCTCAACTATGTTTGAGGCCATCATTAAAATGTTTTTGTTTGGTTTACTCCAACCCACATTTCTCAAGGTGTGAAGGTAGGTAGAATTTTTTTTTTTTTTTTTTTTTTTGTTGCGGTATCTTACAAATTGATTATTGTCATAAAAAACACAAGTTTGGGAATTTATTAATGTTTTCATTATACACTGGACAAGAAAGATTTAATATTTATTGCTATAATTCCTATAAAAATGTTCAAGTGATAAAGCATCTCATAGAAATTGTAAACCTTCTTTAAAATGAAACAATTTCTATTTCTGTGGAAACTGGGGGAGGGAGAATAGAAATCTAAAGTACAGGAAAAAATGAATGGGTCTAAGGGTCGACTTAGTGGGTCGATCCGAGTACACCAAACAAATAATCTTTTATTGTTGGCCTGAGAACTTGAGTACTGATGTCAATGCTATCAGTCTTAGATGTTGCAACTGATCAAGTAATGCATTACTTTATGAGAAAGGAGAATAAATATCTTGTTTGGTAATTAGAGAACAGTTGGAGTTAGTGGAATTTTACACATTCCTAGGGACATTTGTTTTTCATCATCATCTTTATTGGCATTTTTGAAGTTCCCATTGTTACATAATATTTGTCATTGCCATTTTATAGGAATTTTCCATGTAGTGACAGATGAATAAATGTCAACCATTGCAATCTGGAAAAATGGCATTAATTTACTGACTGCATGATTCAGTTCACTGTTGTGATTATAAAGGCATGGGAACCAGAGAGATACAAGACAGATAATCTTTGTAATAAAATTGTTACATAATCACACGTGCAGGGTGCATTGCCGTTGGTCAGAATTATCCCTCTTTTCTACAATAGGTTGCTGCGTCCTCCAGAAATTTTATAATGAGGTGTATAATTACAGAGAAATATATAAGTTGGACTTTTTCATTCATAGACTACACATGTAAGTAATATTTGAATTAAAAATAAATAAATATTTAATGCATGTGATTCAATGCATTGAGTGAGTGAACTCTCAAACATCAATTCAATAACAGATGCAGCACAGAAGCAGTTAAAATAAGTGTATTGTATGACTTGTTCAGATGCAGGGTTTGATATAACTTTTACTTCTACTGCTCCAATGAGTACCTGTCGCATCCCTTCGGATATATATATATATATATATATATATATATATATATATATATATATATATATATATATATATATATATATATATATATATATATAAAAGAATTGGGAAGGTTTATCTATTCAACTGTAATTAAGTGAGTGTTGATCACATATATTCCTCCAAAACAATGCTGTATTTAACTTAATGAATTTCAATCTAATGTAGACCATGGAAAAATTGTGGGATCCTATTTAAGTAATACAGATTTTGTAGGCAGAAAATGAATGCTTTGTTAAAATGAATATTATTAAGATATTTGAAAATGTTAAAGGATTTTTATATGCATACACTTTCTTAAGGTAGTGGAAGAATTTTTCTGTTTAACTTTTTGTTATCTTTTATCTTTGCAAATTAAAACTCTAATTTGTCTATTATCAGCATTCAGAAGGGTTGCTACTTTCTAAAGTCTGTCTATCTAAATGTTTTGACATCAAGATGCAAGAAAACGCTGTGGGTGCACATTCCCTGATGCATGTATTGGTGCAATTAAGACCTGATGGTGATATGGCTGCATGCCAGTCATGCGTAAGAATTAAAGCTTGAATGGTTGTTGCCAAGTTGCGGTGTCAGACGGAATGTCATATGGACACAATTTCAGACCTCTCACTATACAGACAGGTAAATGTTGATAAATTCACAGGACTAGCTCTGTTGACGGAGATCATATTCCTATGAAGTTCTGTACAAAAGATGTGTATTGCTTCGAAAGTTCTTCCATACACAGCATGTAAGTTATTCTGAAAATAAGCTGCAGTCATTTCTTCAAGGTATATGATATATCTGTTACCTAAAATTGCAAGCAATTATCCAGATGTGGAATTTTGCTGAATGTGATTCTGGATATTGAGTCTGCGAGAGGAGTTTTTATGCTGCATCTAAGGGTCGATTGTGATTTGTGAGTTTGGAACTTGTGGATGTTAAATTATCAGACTTTGTATGTCTAATTGGCTTGAAACTGGTGCCAGTAAAAAAGTTTGAAGTTTGGCATTTTCTTAAGTTCAGTCAGTTAATTATGGAAATGTGCATGTAATTTTGTCTTTGAGTAAATCTTTTTTCATGCAAAAAAATTCTTAATTCAAAGGATTTCTATTTAAAGCTTGTTAACTTCTTGTGAAGATTAAAAGACAGTATAGCTCTCAGAAACATTATTGTTCCAATTTCTATTGACTGGAAGAATTTATAATGAGTACCAGCATATTTTACGTACTTTCAGCGAGCAAGAAATTATAAACTTAATATTAACATACCGGTATTTTCAGTTTGGTAATATTCATGTACGATTAATGCATGTCTATTATTATTATATTGTAGACATACTTTTTTTCCATCTGGAAAATTAATTTCACTACATACATGTATGCAGGAACAAGTTTTTCACAGAAATGTGCAAAAAAGGTGCACCCAGTTCAGACATACAAAGGCAATTCTCAATAATTCTGGGTACTTTTCTACCCACAGATTGAACAGAAATTGTAATTCTTGGAATTATGACACATGCGCAACCAGTGAAATAAAATATGTTTACAGTATTTCAAAATTTAAGTACAACAACATTACTCTATCAGTGTGTTTGATCTTGTTACCGGCCAATGAGAGAATATGAAAGTTAGCTTTAAAATACATGTAATATCCATTATAAAGTTACACATATTGTTTTGTCTTTTTTTAATGGTAATGATGTTAATTTTAATATAATTTTTTTTTTTTAAATTGCCTTAGATTTTTTTGTGATAATTCCGAATTTTCCATTACATTGTGGAGTCAGATATATATATACTGTCTGGCGGGACCCCTGTCTGGCTAGGCACAATAACTCTGTACCTTGTCATGTTGTAATCAATGAATGAGACATTGCTGATCGAGGTGTGGTTTTACATCTGTCTGTGTCAACTGGTGCATGTATATTGGCATGTAATGTAATGGAAGGGCTGCGTTATATTTTCTAAATGGAGTGATATAAAGTTACTTGACATTTTGCTTCCCATTTACGTAATAAGGAAGTTTTTTTGCTCCCACCATTTACTGATAAAAAATAATAATGTCAGTCAAGTTCACTGCAGTCTTCATCATTTGGAAGGAAGTTATATCTATTTATTAAGTGCAATTGGTGTACATATAGTGGTATATATATATACAAGTACTATTGACATTGCATACATATGATCGTGTCTCACTGTTTTATGTATGATACACAATACAGTGTACTTTATATCAAACTTGGGGAGTTGTAGCTGCCTCTAGTTGGTACAGCTTGGTACATCCACATCCCATTTCTATTTGGTCTCGGTTCCTGTGTATATATATTTAAGTACTGATGTCATGACCACATGTGTTTTATGGATTGACCACTGTAAATTTAGTGATGGGAAATATTGTACTTTAATATTGTTACATGAAGAGTATAATTGGAATATTTGAGATACAGGTATAAACTGTGACAATTATTTGTATTACTCTTTTAACAATACAATTTAAATTTGTCCAGGATTCATACTGAATAGTTACCGAATATTGTATTAATAGGAATTAGATTTGTATGTAATATTTGATAACTTGTGTGACACAGTGACAGTAATTGAGATTACATTGATGTGCTGATGAGGACAGACACGGGTTATCATCATGATGATAGTCTTGTGTTTCTGAGAAACACAGTGTTTCATTAATGCATTAATTAACCTTTATAAGTGCATATAAATAATTACATCCTTTTATCTTTTTGCAGTTTCACTGAAGATCAAGACCAGTGAAAGCTTAAATTTTTTATGAAGAATCGGATGATTATCCTGTGATAAGCCATCATGAGTACAAATTCCATTGGGGCCCCCCAGGCGATGCCCCCCGCCACGCCTGGTCAAACATATGAGACAATAATGCCCTCCACGGAGGGGATCAATGGCACCACCCCTAGTGAACGGGTGATTGCCCGACCCCGAACCTGTGACGAGATTAGTGCAGAGTATGACATTGCGTTAGCTGTGATTTGCTCCATGTGTTTTATTTTTGGGATAGTGTATACGTTTTTTGGTGAGTATAATCTTTTTTTTCTCATAAAACTATCGTAAAAGAAAATTGGTGTAGTCATGAAGATTGTGTTACGTGAAATGTTTTTATGATATATGAGACAGAGGTGAATCATTGAAAGTCTTAAAGCTGCCATATTTTTTAATTGGCAAGAAATGTTTTAAGTGATTTTCAACTGAAAAAAAATATATGTGGAACATTGTATGTATATTCCTCAGCTTTTTCTGTTAAAGAGATCACACTTGCAAATTAAGTTGAAATGCTTATTTTCTTGACATTTCATCATTCTTACTGAAAAAAATGTACACATTTTCATATTTTTTTCATGGATATATTGAAACTGTCCATTATTATTAATAAAAGTGGAAATTTCTGTAAGTAACTTTAAAGCTTTTGAATCTCTAGCATTCAAACAAATGTCCACTTTTGCAATTTAAAACAGATTTTATGTAATATTCAAAATAATGAAAAGTAATTGAATGATAAAATACATCACATATAGTGTTTCAAACTCAGTTGACCTATGAAATGATTTGTCTTCCAGGTTACCGATTCTTTAAGGCTGTAATGTTCCTGACTGGCTTCATCTTCACATCCGTCCTCGTGTATCTGATTCTATCCCAGCATTCCCTACTCCCTATAGAGGGAAACATTGGTGTGGCCCTGGGGGCAGGGCTCCTGATAGGACTCCTGACTATGTTAGTGCAGTATGTGGGACTTTTCTTCACAGGGTTTCAGCTGGGAGCTGCAATAGGTGTTGTGAGTCTTATTATTGTGGACTTTTTCATCCTCATCCCTGTCCATTGGATCCGGATTGGAGTGATCTGTGGATTAGGTTTAGTGTGTGCAATACTAACTCTGAAATTCCAGAAGGGTGGCATGATTCTGGGGACCAGTGTGTTTGGTGGTGCCCTAATGGTGGCCTGCCTGGATTATTTTATTGAACAGTTTGCCATGGTTACGTTTGTGTGGGGACAGGTCACGGGAATGTCCTCAGGACTTGTGTGCTGGTATTCTTGGGTGCTGCTTGGCTGCTGGCCATTCTGTTTTCTGGTGGGGACTGTGACACAGTGGAGGATAACTGGACAGGGATATGACCACAATGAACGTAAGCTTTTTGGTCAGATATATTCCTTGAGAAAAAATTGGGATATGAACATATCTCATGGATATATGATTCGCAATGCTTGCATGTTGAAGTTCTCATTTTCACAAGCCAGTGCGCTCACTGCACTGTAGGGGACTTTGGTGTGGAACTAACTTCTTTAATATCAAATGTAAGATTAAAATTCATGATTTTGCAACAGACTGAACAGAGCATGTAAAAGGTTTAAATATCCACAGTAAGAGAACTTAAGGGTAAAGTGTTAATCATAATGTGCAACAGCTTTACACTTTCATTACCTGAAATTGATCTCCAGTGTTTTGCTTACAAATGAATCATTTATCGATTATGTCAGGAATTAAGTCAGTCATTCAGTACATGAATACATGAATACAGTGTCTGCAGGCATATACAGATGTTACTGTCATAAGTCATGTATGATGTATAGTCACCTTTTAGTACTTTCAATATTAAAACAAAATTTTGAATAAATGTCTTTCAAGGTGTTATTTTTTCATAAAAGTTTTCCTTTTTTATGAAAATGCTTTCTGTGTAATTTTCCAGCTATCCCCAGTAAAAGGGTGAAGAAAGCAAATCTCCATCAGGCAAGGAAAAAGGAGAGACAGGACAGTCAGCATACAAGATACAGGCACCTGTACCAGGCTCGACGAGCTCCCGGTGATGTTCTATCTCAGGTCAGTCTCACATGAGCAGTCTCTCTGATTAGTTGTCTAAGATGAGTAGTCTCACATCAATTGTCATGATAGTTGAGTTGTCACAAGACATATTTGTGGTCATTTGTCTCAGGGTTCATCTCAGATGAGTAGTCTAAAGCAAGTTCTCTTGCATTCTTTCTTGGGTGAGGTTTATCATTCGAATTAGCTCCGATTCTTCCTTTGGTGAGTTGATTTAGTTTGGAGGTCTTTCTCATATGAGTTGTTTCAGGTTCATTTCAAGATGAGAGCCTCAGGCTCTGCATCATCCCATGTGAGTTGTCTTAAATAAGTTATCAAAACAAGGAATCAAAAGAGATATTGAGACAGCTAAAACTCACTTAAAATCCTTGCAAATAGTAAATACATACAGGTATTATATAATTGAAATATTCTTTAAAATCCTCCATTTTTGATAGAGTGGCTATAATGTGTTAATTCCTATGTTAGCTTTTCGGTTATTTTTCAATGGTGCTTAATTAAAGGACTAAGCATTTTCTCATTATAAAGAAAATTGTTTAGTACTCCAATTTTGTGATGTTCTTGTTCAGTTGCTCAAGTTGTGTGAAGGCAAAATATACTTGGGGGCAGAGTTTTGATAGGTGGTTACCTGAAGCATGTGAGTTAAATTAATACAGAGAGTAAATATGTGCATTCAAAATAAGACACATCTAAAAAGAGGCTTTCCTTTCTGAATGTACAAGTTCAGTATGAAACTCAAGTTGAGGTCACCTGTATCAACAAGCCAGGTCAGAAAACTCAATATTGATGAGTCAAGACCAAAAAAGTTTTTCTGAATCATTTCAAATTCTAGCATTTCTCTGCAACAAAGACTAACGGCTGGATTCTTAAGCAAGATTCTCCCACAGTATCATTAATCTGAGTGCTGGGATGTGTAGAAGGATGATTAGGCATTTGATATACATACATAACATCATTATAGTAGGAGAGTTATTAAGAGGTGCTTTATGCTGGATTACACATCAATGGCTTTGGCCATTGAGCTGTAGAGTCTTCCGTAATACTATAGAGTAATGGGTGAAGTATGGCGCTGCACCTGCAGACTTGAGTAAACGCTTGTAATATTAGGTGGGAGTTTGATTAATTACCACCAGGTTTACTTTTCTAAATGAACCAAGGTACAAATTTGTTTTTGACTAGTGATGAAAGCAATTTCTGATGCATGTTGATTTCATCATTTTTCCCCCTTCACTCAATTGATATATTAAAGTGGAAACAATGAATGGTTTGAAATACACTGTAGTTTTTTTTTTCTCTTGTATGAATTGAACAATTGATTTGTTTCAAGTATTTTGATTAGGCATTTTAAATATGTATTTTTAATGTGCCAAGTTATTAAATTTTTAGCACCATTCTTCACAATTTCCCAAAGATGTGAATTAAACCTTGTCCACAAGTTATGATTAATTGCTGGATATTCTTGTTAACAATTCAATTGCTTTTGATAAATGTACCAATATACCTTATCAAATGTCACTACAGTTGAGCTGTTTTCAGAAATTTGACTGTCTTGTGCAAAAAGAGCTTGTATGTCAATTGTACCAAATGAATGAATATCTCTCTTTTGTTATGTGTTGATGAACAAAGTATGATAAATTTGTGCATTGCAATGCTTTTTCAATCAAGTGCATGCACATCTTGATAAACACACTGTCTTTAAAACATATTTAATGCACAAATTAGCATCATTATTAGCAAATGCAATGCTATATTTTATACTTCACTTCTTTGAAAGAATTCTTTGGTCTAAAGACATCCACAAATTAAACTTGATTTTTTTTTCTTTGACAGACATATATCCAGACCATGACTCAAAAGATGTCCCCAGCAACTAAACGCAAGGACCATATAGCCATTCCTACAGAGCCAAGCTTAACTGAACTAGACAGCACTAATACGACCTTGACCCAGGTGCCATAGAGTATGGACAAGTGGATCCAGGAATTAAATGACCCACATTCATGATGAAAATGTAGCAGATACCAAAAATAGACTAAAATGTGAAGTTTGGATTGGATCTTATTGATTCGATCGATAATTTTTATTGTGGTGGCAATGGATCCAAAAGTTCTGGATTTTCTAAACTTGGGGAAAGGATTGCAAGTTTTTGTGTGTGGATCAATTAAGTTTCAAAAAATATATGACAGTATTATGGCAAACTTTACAGTTATGAGGAAAGGCTGTCTCAGACCACAAGGAAGATAATGTCTTGATTTATAGATTTGTGCCATAATAATATAATCGACAGTGAACTGTACCAAAGCTAGGGTAACTCCAGCAATTGTTTGTCTGTGAATTTGGAGGAAGATGCATTGAGTTCAGAAAGAGGTTGATCTCATAAGGGCAATTTTTTCTTTTGATTTTTTTTTTTCATTCCAGTGTTGTTTGTACTTTTTTTTCAAAAAAATTATGATTTCGGTTCACCTGAACAATTTTTTGTTCACATACTTATACCTGTGCTATAGATTATACAATGTGTCATGTATTAATAAACATGTATGCTTATGTTCATGATGTTTGCAATTGTTTTATAATTAAAAGAGTGTGTATAATTTGATTATATATTCATTTCACCTGGAAAAAAAATAGAATTGAATTGTAAAATGTTTGTAATTAGCTGCAATAATGTAGCCCTCTCCGATTTTTTTAAATCTGATATTTTCAGGAGAGGGCTACAATTCCACTGCATCTCCGTAATGGTGCAAATATATTTTTTAGATACGGGCGACTGCAGGCAAAATAAATTGTTTTTGCATTCAACTTACTTCCAATAAGACGGAATTTTTATTCACTATCAACATCATAGCCCTTTATACGCGAAAACCAAGTAAAATAAATCTGCGTGTTTTCCAGTCGTTCACCTCAGCAGCCATGACAGTTCTCGCGTGATGTACTGAGACTTGCGCTTGAAATTTAGAATCACTTGATAATGTAAATGTCGGTGTTGATAAATGTTTGTGTTGTATGATATAACTAAACATCGATAAATAAAAGCATTCCACGTGATATTTTTATCATAAACAGTGATATTTATGCTTATAATAAGGGAAATCCATACAGATCCGCTCCCCTAGATCCCAAATTCTCATTGGTTGTCCCAAAATAAAATCGATCAAGGTCAGTAAACATGGCGGATAAATTCAAGTTGTGATGTTGACATACACGAAAAATAACCGATATACGGATTGTTCTGTATTTTTTGGATCAATTCATGTCCTGCATAACTACATTTTATGAGTTCAGGTAAGATACGTTAATAAAATACCCAGTTACTGATAATTTGAGCCGAAATCTGTGCGGTAGTGAATCACTCCCGCACTTGCACCATTACGGAGATCCTAAGGAGTTGTAGCCCTCTCCCAAAAAAAAAAAAAAAAAAAAAAAAAAAAATTGGAGAGGGCTACATTATTGCAGCTAGTTTGTAATTAGCATCATCAGCTTAAAGCTCTTTCATGAATGATTTTCATCAGTCTGATTTGAACAGAATGAGTGTTTCTTGCAGGGCTATTTTCATCATTCTCATTTACATGTACATGTATATAGTGAATGAAACATAAATGAATCTCACAAGTGACGGAACTGAGTATTTTTTCTCTCTCTCTTTCATATGTTTTAGATTTTATGTTGGATTTCTACCAGAAAGGTATACATGCATGCTTTTAATTATAGTTTGTAATTATTATGAGTGGTATGGAATGGAAGAGAGACAATGCTAGCTTTTTGTTGTTTTTTTTTTTTTGTTTTTTTTTTTTTTTGCTGTTTTGTTTATGGATTCTCTGTATGCAGCAATTACCTGTAAGGTACTTTTAAGTTCAGGCTAGCTTTGAAAAAATGAATGAATGGAATGAAGATCACTTGTTCTTTTAATTATATATGATCAAGTTTGAAAAAAAAAACTCATCTTGTAAAAAAAATTTAATTTTAACATGTTTAATTACAGCATTTTCTTAATACAAGGATTTTTTTGCCTTTATCAAATTATTGGTAATTAGCTTCAAGGTTTTGTAGATTGTTTTTTCTTTCCTGTCTTCTTTTTATCATTTTCTTTGGGTTAATCAGCTATGGTTGTTCGGGGTTTTTTTTTAATGCTTATAATCATTCTTTTAAATTTACAATTTTTGCCTACTCCTTAAAAATTCAGTTTGTTGTACATGTAACCGATGACTTGTAGTTTCATAAATACATTACTTATCAGGGTAGTTGTATTATATGAAGTCCACATTCAAATTAGTTAGCTTGTTTCATGTTTGTAGACCTTGTTTAATATTGTTGATGGGTTTAACTTTAGCTGCAGGGAAACTTAACTGTCGTGAAAGTGTTGCTATGCAAGTTGGCATTGTGTTTGTTTTACCAAGTCAGTTTGTATGTTATAATGTTGACAAATAGAATAAAACTGAAAAGACACTTAAATTGTTTGTGTACCTTTGGTTTGTTATGCAGCTTGTGTACAAGATGCGTGATCTTGAATTTTTACAGAAAACTGGTTTGAGTATATTTTAATTGGAAAGACTCTAGATTGAGCAGTCCGAGTTCCAAAAAATAAACTGTGGAAAAAACTTGAGTGACAGTTCTATCAAAATATGTAGTTTTTGGACAAAACCATTTTATTTCCTGTATTCTTAATTATTTCCCTTTAGAAAAAGGGTTCGACCATCAATTTGAACAAAATTTTGTAAGAAAATTATTGAAATTGGCCAAGTGGTTCTGGAGAAGATGAAATGTGAAAAGTTGACATACATATGTATTATACAAGAAAAGGTCACTTTAGTTTCTGGTTCAAATGAGTGAAAAGCTACAGATAAACCACTTCAGGTTTCCCACATACCTTTTATCTTTTTTATCATTAATTTCTACTATTTTAATTTAAATATACTGAGAAATCTTCATTGTTCGTGGTGTCAATGTGCATGGGCAGGCAAAATTTTACTGGGTTGCAGGGATATAATTTCATTGGTAACTTCTTTTTACAGAAGTTAGCACTTAATTGTTCCTGTGGATGTAAATTTGTGGTTAACAGTGACCAACCAATTCCGAGAACATTGGTCCCCTATGAACAATGATGATTTCACAGTATTTGCATTTACAATGACAATCCTAGGACAACAAGGAGCAAAAAAGTGAATGACTGAGGAAGTTAGGAAATCAGGAAAAAAATGGTAGAAGTTCTAGGAAAGGGTGTCATCATCATCATCGACAAATGATGCATCTTTGTATGCTTGTGAGGGAATGCATTTTCCATTTTACAACATTAACTGTACTCTTTAGCAACACTGAATAATCAAACACATACAGTCAAACTTCGTTATCTCAGACTCAATGGGACCTAGAAAAAACTTTGAGATGTACGATGATTCAAAATATCGAGGGTAAAAGGCTTTAAATAATAAGTGGTTGGGACTTCCAAATTACTTTGACATATCCATGGTATTCAAGATATCGGTGTTCGAGATACCGACGTTTAACTGTAATTGAATTGGTCAGAACTTACATTAAACTATGAAATTTATTCACAACACCTGTGAATTCATTAATTTGGAAGGCAATAAGCTTACAGGGTATATACCCCCAACAAACAATATTCCAATAACCTTTAGTTTCTGTGTTTAATATACATATATGAAACACAATTATATGGGAATCACAAATTTAAGATTCTATCACAAAATTGAATATAATGCATTATACACAATAAGTATGACTCATATACATTAAAATATTCAATATCACCCACATGTCTGATACTTGTCACAATCATTATATCATTGTATATGTTCAGTAAAAGTGAGTGTAAAATATTCATTCCTTGTAATCCATATTGCATATAATTAAGATGAATAGAAGCATTAGACAGTGGTGCACACGTTCCTTAAAATGCATACGAACAAAAAAAAAGGCGAAACATGATTTGTATAGTGAATATGCTTACAGTGAATTTCTAATTTGAACAAAATTCTAATTAAATTGTCACCAAATGGTTCTCTATTACTACTGCATACCGTCTTCACTTCATTCATGACATTTTCACCCACTTAGGAGAACTAGCTGCTTTTGTTCCATTTTGAATGTGTAGTTTTACAATCAGATAATTTTACTACAGTTTATAATTCATGGGTCAGTCTTGCTTCAAAACTAGCAAAAGCACCAAATAATTTACAATGAAATTAAAGTTGTCATCAGAAGTGCAATTACTTAACAAGATATAACAAATCACTGATAAGAAAGGTATTTTGGCTGTGCATGGAAGTTCTATATAACCATTGACTGTAGCTATGAAGATAGATAATATATTTGCATGTACAAATAAAATCATATTCAATAAAATATGATAATAAATAAATAACCATTCAATATTTACAATGATACACGTAATACAATACAGACAGAAGAATAGAATATTTTAATTAAGATTCTGTCTTCATTGTGTATTTATATCTAAAATGAGATTCCTCTGCATTAAAATTAAAAATTCCTGATTTCATTAATATGCTAGCAATGAACAAATGCATATTTTCAACAAATTTCAATAATAAAAAAAAATTATTGAAAAGCACTAAAAATTTATCAGAATGAAATCTGAATGGACTAATAAAAAAAGTACTGACGGAAAACTCTCTCATGCTCACTCCTGAACTTAATAAGAGGTCTGAATTCGAATGAAAAGTTAATTTTTTCATTTATTCATACAATATTTTCTATACATTAATTCCCAAACTGGTTACAAAATTACAATCTACGGTAAATTCTTGGAAAGGAAAAAAATCAATCTTATACACGTCAATTTTGTTTACATCACATTACATTGCTGAAGTAAAATTTGGTCTCACTGTAATTGGAAGACCTATATATAAAAATATTTGTGCTGGAAAATTTTGACTCCATCCAAAGGCCATTTCAAAATTTCAAATTGATATGTGAACTTTCTTGAATAAATAAATACAAATTCTGACCAAAAAAAAAAGAAAACAACAAATGGGAGCTGTAAATCAATGAAGGACTCTAGCTTTTGAGCAGACATCATACTAATAAAATTTTTTGTAATTTCTTTGCCTGGCAAATCAGAAAATGTGGTAATTTGTATATGCATGTGTTTTTAAAAAAATAATGCTAAAATAAAAGTAAAAATAAAAGTGAAAAATAGGTTTGAGGAAAATAAAAGTGAAATTTCCCCAACACTCAGCATTGCAATCAACATCACAGATATGTTATAAAATAATTTCCATTAACCCTCCTCCGCATCATACTGATCCAAAAACTCAAACTCCTCTGCAATATCAAGGTCACTTGCATCAGATGATCGTTGCTGTGACAATGAACTTTGAACCTGAGCCTCTTTTCCATCTATTTTATCCTCATTGTTGCTATTTGTGACTGTACCCACTGCTCTTTGGGTAAGGTTTGTGATTCCTGACAATGCATTTCCCATCACAGAAGACACAATTTGATTGGCTGTTTCCCGAATTCCTGTGGAAGATTCAACCATTGACAAATCTTTTAAATCAGGGAATTTCATTCCTTTACCTAGTCTTGATTCCTCTAATTCATCGTCTGTAGAATCACCGAAATGAGATGAGACAAATTTTATTTCCCCCTTTGTCTCTTGGGGTAAGGAAGGCTCAAGTATTTCTTCATCAGTCAAGTGATCTTCTAGCGAAGGCATCTGACCTAAGCCCCTGGCAAACTCGGCCTCTATGTCAGAGGTATCTGCTGTAAAAGAAAAGACAGTTGCAGATACAATAAAACTAGTCTAATCCTGATGTTGTGTATTCTGAAATCTTGTTTTTCTTTGGAACCAGTGGTGTAGTTATTAGATAAGATTTACTCTATTTAGATGGCCAAAAGGTCTATTAAATGAGTTTAGACAGCCTTTTGATGCCAGGTTTTTTTGATGTGATAATTACTTATTTTAAAGAAAGTCAAGAACATAAAAATTACCAATTTCTTAGAGACTGAGTCAATTTGGATATACAAGTATTTCATTTGTGTGATATGGTAAAAGTCATAAATGGTCAAATATTTCATGAAAATAACCGGTGTTATGGTATTTCCCCTAAATTTCAATGTGTCATGACAGTCATGTACTTATGCATTTGTAATTTTTTGTATACAGTTTGGTTCATACACTAAAACATACACTGTGATTTGTTCTTTCTTTCCGGTGTACTTTGAAATATGACGAATATACATTAACTTCATTAAATTTATTTGGTTATGAATTGAACAAACTTGAATCTACACTTCCTAAAGATGCTTTTGAACTAATGACACATAATGGCTTTGCTGTTCATAAGAAGATTTTTTTTATTGATATATCCTTTATATTCCTTTGTATAACTATGATCATGACTATGTTATGGTCCCTCTATACTCCTGGAAGCGTGAAGGGGGGGGGGGGCATGTTTTGACTAAATTTGAATCTACATTACCTGAGGATGCATTTATATTATAACTAATCATGGCTTTGCTGTTCTTGAGAATAGTATTAAAGATTTTTCCTATGTATTCCTATGTAAAACTTTGATCACCCATTGTGGCCCCACCCTACCCCTGGGGTCATGATTTGAACAAACTTTATTCTACAATACTGTGGAGGCTTTCATATAAATATGACTAAACATGGCTTTGATGTTCTTGAGAAGAAGATTTTTAAAGATTTTTTCCTATGTTTTCCTATTTAAAACTTTGATCGCCCATTGTGGCCCCAGGTTAACACTGGGGGTCATGATTGGAACAAACTTGAATCTACCCTACCTGAGAATGCTTCCACATAAGTTTCATATTTTCGTAATTTTTCACAAATTCGTAATTATCTGCCCTTGGAAGAAGGTGTGGCCCTTCATTTGAACAAACTTAAATCCCCTTTACCCAAGGATACTTTGTGGCAAGTTTGGTTGAAATTGGCCCAGTGGTTCTTGAGAAGATGAAAATGTGAAAAGTTTACAGTGTCAACGATGACGATGACAACAACAGACAAATTTCAATCAGAAAAGCTCACTTGAGCCTTGGGCTCTGGTGAGCTTGAAAGTTATACATTTTAATAATTTTTTTTAATTTCCTTACACAAATCCTCATGCTCATCATTCAGATTGACTGAGGGTTCCTTGGACATCCTGGGGGTTGGGATATCGGGTGTGCTCATACCCTCATCCTCTGAATCAGTGATGGCTCGAGCGAGCGCTGCTGTGACTTTAGGGTCTCGTGTTGGCATGAGTTCCTCTGATTCGCTATCTGAATCACGAGTGGTCGTGCCAATGCTGCCAAAGTTCGCCGTTTTCCGAGCCTGTTGGTCTAAAAAAGAAAGAAATTATCAATAAATGAACATTCTTTGATTCTTTACAAAGATAATTCATTTATAAAACGTCATTATATGATTTGAAACTACCAGGAATGAAAACCACTTCCCTGTAAGCATAAAATCATTTAAAGTGTTAACTGTAAATGTTTTACTGTAAGATGCAAATATGGGATACGTAACAAAAGTATATCACCATTAGTTATCATTTTTGTAATGAAAAATTAGCAGCTAAAATAAGACAAAATAAGTAAATTGTCAAAATATATATGGTACTGCAGATGAAATAATGTTTGTTTAGAAAAGGATATATCTTACGACGCCAGATCCATGGCCTGATTTTCAAAGTGTAATCCAACCGCATCAACAGAGGCTCCAGAGCTATGTAGATCTTCTGAAACAAGTTGTTGTACAGGACACAGGGCCACAACATCATTGACATCACTAAAACAGAACTCAAAGGTCAATGTAAGCTAACTTATTCCTGAAAAAAAATGTTTGAATTACACCTAGGACCAAGCTGTTTTCTCACAAGTGTAAAGCCAGTTTTGAAATAGAAATGAACCTATATGTACTGTAAACATAGAAACAGCCAAAAGAAATTACTAATAATTTTTGCCAAGAAACCCCAGGTTGATGATACAAAATATATATGGGAGTAAAACAAGAAGGTCAAAGATTAATTTTCCCATTTGCTGCACAGAATGCAAGACAGCATTATCATGGTGAAAACACTGGAGTTCATACACGGAAGTAATAATAAACAACAGGACTTTAAAGAACAAACTTCAAATTTTTTTTCTGATGATTAAACACCCTATGTTAGAGCCATTTCTGTTTTTGGAATTGTCATGTAAAATACTTCATCCTAAGTCAAGAGTTTTGTTCCATTCCACCTTCAAAACACCCAGTAGCTTGCAGTGTTGAGCAAAAAAGATTAAACATTTAGATATGCAAAGAATTAAATTCAGCTTCTTTCTTGTGAAAGATATAGATTAATTCTGTGTACAATGTACATACATGTATCCCATTCCCTGATGAGTTTTATATATATATTATACTTACCTATTATGTATGTTAGAGTCAGACCAGAAATCAATCGTCCAAATGCAGCAAACAGAAGCAAGAAAGAGCAGTTCAGACACGTAAACTGAAAATACATTTAGCACTTCATTTACTGATGATACAGTGTAACTGTTTCATATTAATACTTAAGAAATTCTACTTCAAATATAAAATAGATTTTAATTCAAAGGGCTGAACATGTGAAAGCAATGCATTTCATGTTCCAACAACATATACACTGAATTAATTTCACACTTTTATAGATTTATCTCCCCCTTATCAAACTCTTTATACATTCTCAATGACTTCTGATGAAATTATTAATTAGCAGATTTGCCTGTATTAGATGATGTCTCATGTTACTGTCAGAAAATATAGAAGACTATAGCTGAATATTGTCTTTTTTTCTGTCCACAATGAACAAATTCCCTTTTTAAAAAGATAAATATAATGCACATTTAAAACAGTTTCAGTCATATGGGCCTTTTTTTTTTTTACATAGCTTGGGTAGGTATGACAGTTCCTCTTCTACCTAAGAAAAAAGTCTGGAACTATTTCAGAGAGCCAATCATCCTTTTATCTTGGGCATTTCCAAAAAATTATTCATTTAATTAAGCTTACTAACATACTGTAATCACATGACTTATACACACCAAGAAATGATGATCTTTCCTAAATGCAAGCCAACAACTGAAGTTGTTTGACATGAAAATCCACAGGTGGGCCAGATGTTGGCAGATTTCAGGAACACTCAACAACCGGACATGGACAGGAGTCCAGCTATATTATACAAACAATGATACATGTAATGTGTATCGAATTATAGATCAATATTATAATCATAAAAGAATCTTTTATCTATCTTAGATAGTCGAGCAAAATCCACTTGAGCTGAACCAGGTACTGTACATGTTATATATTTACCTGTCTGGATCTTCTGGAATAGCTGGGGGAACTAAGAAAGAAACAAAGAAAGAGTTTTGGCTCAAAATTGTGAGACGCTTGCAGAAAATTATAGTGTATAAAGGTGAAAATATTGAGTTGATCTAATTCATTTTCAACATAGGGTGCCTGCTATTCTGCCCCAGGAAAAATGCTAAAAGAGAACAAAGTATTGACGAACAGAAATCACTGTTGTGTACTTAAATGTGTAAAACACTTGCTAATGAAGTACATGTGTATTCAGTTGCTTCCTCTTTTATAAGATGTGAAGATCCGAATACTTTAGTAATTGATTACAGATTGTATTTTATCATATAAAATTCAGATTATTCCATTTCAAATCGAAGGGCAGATAACTCAAACTGCATAAAAATACCATGAAATTAGAACTCTCAAGTGTGCAGTGTATAGAGGGTCGTTAAAGTTATAATTCAGGATATCTTTTCAAACTAAATATGTTTGTTGCTACTAGCATTTGACAGTGATTTAGATTCACAAATTTATTAGTTGTTTACATGTTCCAAAGTGATGCTAAACAAAAACTTAACTTCAATGGCAGTTAAATTTTTCAATTAGAAAATTAAGACACAGCAGATGTGTGAAGCAAATAGACATATATATTTATCGTTAAAACACTGTTTGATAAAGAATCATATATATGCATCAGTTGTCTAAACACTATTCTTCTATATGTTGTACACAGTACTTTCTGGCTATAATGTTTCTACAATATAAGACAAAACTTCTTTCAGCAAATTAACCTCACAAGTGGCCCAATTTTTGGGGGCCAAATGGGAGCCCTATTGCACACCCTCCCCCCCCCCCCTTTTTTTTTTACAGACTCACCTCTGATCTCGGGCCAGATCCATTTCCTCCAAGTGTAAACGAAAAACATGATGGCAGCTATTGAACTAATGCAAAAATAAAACTGACAGCCATTGACAGCGGTAAACCTGGAAAAGAGATGGATGCATTTAAAGCATTTATTTATTAAATCTGAGATTATTGAGTCATCCTCCTTAGGTACATGTATATTAGAAGAAGATTTTAAAAAGATTTTTTCCCTCTTTATTCTTAAGAAAAATTTTGACTCCATACTGTGGCCCTACCTATAGTCTCAAAGGGTTACAATTTAGCCATCTTGAATCCACACAAAACTGGGATGCTTTAATGTAAGTATAGGCTTATTAACATGGCCTTGCTGTTCTACAGAAGACATTTTAGAGGATCTTATTTTCCTGTACATAGCTAGCATACTCTGATCTCTGATTTAGCCCCATCCTAACTCCATGGTCCATAATTTGAATTTAAAAAGAAATAAATTAACAGAACTAAGAAATAAGGGATAAGGTTGGGGTACAGTAGGGAATCAAGATCATACTATTATATCAGTATGCAAATAATTTACATATACTGATTTCATCTAATATAGTATCGTCTTCACTTTGGTCAATACTGATCATGATTTTTTTTTCTGGTGAATATTGAACCATATCCACCACCAACAGTCCATAATTGTATATCATTTATGTTCCTGACTGTCTACAGTTAGCTTTTTTAAATGATTTATGCATGCTCATTTATGCATGAACCTGTAAAGAAAGGAAAATCTGTTATCAAGCTCAATGCGGGATGTTTGAAGAATGAAATACATGCAATTTTGTAAACACTTTTAATATGATATAATACAGCACATCACTTTACCTGCCCATACTTCCATGTTTATACTCTGTGACATAATTGTTATCATAATATATACATACATGCATGCAACCTAATACACCCTTCTAAAAATAGAACATTGTTGTGTAAACACACTGGAGTTCAATAACTTAACCAGATAAATATTTGCAGTGTGATACATATGCAATCAACAAAATTTTTAAGATTTAAACAAAGCTTCCAAATATCTAAATATTAACTGCTCATAATCAATAAGTCATATTTAAACTATTATTATAATAATATACTTTTCCATTCCCATTTTACCTAGGGGTGTTCCCAAATGCTTCCCACTGCCTCTGTTACTGAGGTTACTACAGTATACAAATTGAAATACAAAGAGCTTTAGATATAAAGATAATCTTACCAAAATATTCCATGAACGATCAAAAACATCACTGCACTTTTATGTGGTCTCTCCCAAACAAGTAATGACTGAATCTTCATAATTAAAGGTTCAATCGGACTCAACAACTCCCGAAACATCTCTTCTGTCTGTCGGGAGAAGCTGTCTGTATAATGTTCTGTCATGTCTCTCGACATCTTGACGAAATATGAAAATCACTGAAAAATAAAATGTCAACACAAGAGTACTTGAATGTCCTACATTTCCAGTCGATGTTTATGTTGTGACGTCATGACGGATGGAATCTGTAAACATTGCATCGCGGAAGACAGTCAAAAAATATGAACTCATTTATTTGCATGTACTTTATCAACATTATTTGCTTGTATATCTGCATATGGAATTTGAAATCTAGAAAAATAGAGCAAAATAATGTTTACCTTTATTTTCATAGGAAGTTCGAAATCTTAACTAACTGTTAAAATAGTTTGATAGGCAGATTTATCTCCGGATTTTTTTTTTGGGGGGGGGGGGGGGGATCTTTGTACAAATGATTTCATTTTTCTTTCTCATACTGACGCTTTATCACCAAAACAATAAAATATATATTTTTATAAAAATGTGTGGTTAATGTTCATTTGGGGTTTTTGTTTGTTTTGTTGTTCGTTCGTTTAATTTAACGAAAACCGATGTTTTCCCCATTCTCAATTATACCCACAGGCACTTGTTTCGTATACGGACCACCCCTACTTATTTTTACCGTGGTAAAAGTAAGTAGGGGTGCCCCGTATACGAAACAAGTGCCTGTGATTATACCTCTGACCATCATCATATAACTTTAAGAAAATGAACCTGATCTTTCAGATGTTTTAAGGAAGCTCTCAGCCTCTGGACATTAAAGAGTTCTAATTGTAGAGTAGTTTCGTGCAGTTAGAGTGATTTGCCCTTTGAAGAAAGATAGAACTAGGAATTTATAGTTAAAAATACAATTTATTATGGATTAAAGTATTCTAATTATATTAGACAAAGACTAAGTAATTAAATAAATTATTTCCATTAATTTTCCCATTGTAATACTGTAAGTACGCAACAGTAATCTATTTCTCAAAATCCATGGGGCATTTTTTATTAATGTTTAGAGTTTGCACAAGACATTTTATGCAACTTTCAGTTTAAATTCATTCCAATCAACGATTCCAAAGTCAGGCCCGTAGAACGCAGGGGGTAGGCGGGACTTTTCTGAGTATAGTATTTTAATTGCTATTATAGTAAATTTTCCTATGGTGGTTGTTGCCCCCCCCCCCCCCCCCAATTTTTGTTGCTGTAAAGTCTAGCACAGGGAAAATCAAGGATTTGGACGGTTAATTGGGTTTTTGTTGTTGTTGTTGTTGTTGTTTTTAGAACTAAGAACTTGCCCCCCCCCCCCCACTACTTTTGAAACTGCTGCTACGGGCCTGAAAGTTAAGGCTCGAGCACGATTTCAACATCTCATTGTCCATTGACCTTGACCTTTAAACTAATACCAGAAGACATCATAACCCACACCTGTGGGTCATCATTAACAATATACCCAAGTTCGATTTGGATTCCTGAGTCACAGACCGGATTCAATTTCACGTGACAATCTTGTCTATATATTAAATGACTATGACCTTTGAGGTATATCCTTGAATAAAGATAGACAGACATTATGATTTCGATCATACTAAAGTTTCTATCTAATATTGAGAGTTATGATCCACACACGATTTTGTGACAGGCAGGTAGACGTACTAACAAGAGGATGAAAACTATACTCCTCCAATTGTGAGAGAAAGAATCTATAGAAGAATTGAATATATACCCTTCGATCAAGACAATGTACCAGACTGCTTTAAATTGTTACAATCCATGTTTTCTTTTTTTTTTTTTCTCATTTTTTCCGGACTTTACCTGTAGATCAAACTTTATTTACAAAACTACCGAAGATGACAATCATTTTTTCACAAGTTATCATGTGTCAAACTTTCAACACAGTAATGCCACATTGTATTTTGGGGGTTCGATTAACTGAATGGCAGGTCAGATTATATTCATTGGTCTTTTTATCGATAACTTTCAGATTTCCTTGAGCAAAGACTTCCGGTCTTCTGTACTCCAGCATTGCAACATTACATGTATGTTCTTGTACATGCAATTCTGTACCTAAAGTCGCACTTTGAAAAGTCACGACATACTGATAATACGAAGTACGTCATTATATAGTAACCTTTTGTCTTTATCATTCCTGTAGATTAGAATATGAAAATCACGTTTGGTCTCTTACACATCCCAGTAGGATCGTAAATGTGGAGCGACATTTTCAAAAATTGTTTCCAAAATAATAGATTTTTTTTTTCAACCGACACGCTCCACAATATCTGATTAAGACATTCATCTTTGTTGTTAATTGTGTTTTCTCTGAAAAATTTTGAACCGAAAACAGAGCTAAGATATAGATGAAACATAATGTGTTTGGGGCATGAGGGTTTGGCAATTTTTGGACTTTTTAAACCTCTTGGAAAAGAAAAGCTCTGTATGAAAACATACGGATTGTATTGTACCTGGAAAAATATTGGTTTGTTCCGTACTAAATAATAATTCATGGCTAGAAAAATCATATTTCATATTTTTAGACGAATCCTTGGGTAATTTGTTGACCATCCTGACTCGATTACATCAAATGGAACCAAAAGAATCAATTTGTACCTGTTGAGAATTATTGACTCTGATACGATTCTTTCATAGCCGGTTGAAGAATAAACGATCCATTTGAGTCTATTTTTATCTACTTCAAGGTGTGTTCCTAAAGTACATATGTCATTGCCATCTCTGAAATATATGGAGATAACGAACAGTATTCAAGCTCAATAGTCCATTAAACAATACAAATTTTGGAGCAGAGCAACACGGACCTCTAAAACATCAGAGGTGGGATCAAGTGCCATGGAGGAGTGAACATCCCCTGCCGACCGGTCACATCCGCCGTATGCTCCTTGTCATGATCGGAATATAACAGGAAAATCCGTCGGCAATTCAGTATCTAAATAATAGCCTAACAATTAGTATGAAAAACGAGAGTCATCATTTGACCTACAGATAAATTGTATTTTCTGACAAGTCATTGTATCTACCATAGAACTTACGAAATGACGACTTTAAACGAGACTGCTGATATTCTTGATTCATCAACTTGTTTGTCAATAACTTATCTACTCATACGTAGAGCATGTTCTTGCGTATCGAATCAACTGAGAGATATAAACCCCGTATGCAGGTGATGAAGGTATCTATATGTTGAAATTCTGGCTTACATGATTTCTCCAATTTATACTTGTACATTTAGAAAAAATGACTCTAGTTTATTAGCTTGGTCATTTTGAAGAACAAAGCATAAGTATTTTTTAAATATTTGCAGTGTTTATTTAAAGATTGAACAAATCAAAAACAACTAGAAGAATTAAGTCACAAAATGAATGAAAATGTACTCAAAGGGTCATTTGTTATTATTTTGTACACACAATGTATTCTAAGAGAAATCAACTAATAAAGACGATGAAAAAGTTGTGACAATTGAAAAAACAAACAAGCTATGATTAATTTCCAAAGCATTTAACACATGAGTATTTATTATCGATTTTGTATGTAACAAGAGTAAAACTTGAAGCATCGTCTTGCTTCATTTTGTTTTTGGTTACTTGAAATGAGGAAAATTACAGAGAACAAAATCTATAAAGTCAAAGAAAGGGCGGACATCTTATGCACCTGTATTAAGCTTTTGATGAAATTTTAATTTTAATTCTGATTAATTTTAAATGAAATTACGAAATTTGAGGAAATATTTGTGATTTGCAACCCATTCAATGCTACTTATCACCAAAAGTAAAATAACTTATGAAAAATTAATTATGTTTAAGTACTAGTTATTAGAGATAAGAGTTGACTTTCATAAACGAGAATTTCTTATGGATTGTTTTAGAAATATAGTACAGAATCGTGTAAGGAACTTAAAGGGCGATATGCGAACTATCTATCCTTCCTTTTTCATTAAATCGGAGGTGATAAAAGAATTAGAAAGACTGCATGAACAATATGTTATGGTTCCAACAGACAGGGTTTGAAACAATATCGTCTTTGTTTGTAAGGCTCATTATTATAAAATTAATGTATTTCTAAAGAACTTTGTTTTAATTCTACATCTGAAAATCCAATTTCTACTCACAATTAACTTTCGAAGGATGAAATTCTTCAAAATCACATTTCTGTATTATACTTTTATAATACTTTTAACATTCCAGTCAAGGAAGTTGAGTTCGATCTACCCTATCTACACAGGATTTCTAAACTTCATAAAGATCCTTACTAACGAAGATACATTAACGGGTCCAGCAAATTCACTACCAAGTCCCTTAATTTCTTTACTCCTCATAAAATTATTAACAGCAGCTGTAAATGAGAAACATCAGACGTGCTTTGCTACAGCATATTCTGAATTCGAAGTGGTTCAATACAAATGTGATTCTCAAAACCCCCAAACAACTTTCAGAAAATTTAAAGCTATATATGGAGTGTCTGAGCTAAAAAAAATAAAAATACGAGACTGAGTGTAGATGAACATGATATTTGTTATTTAAGTTCAAATTAAAATTTTCACCGATTTTTAACTTGAATAACCTCACGTTTCTATATTTAAATTTTTAAACTGTGTCTAATATTTAAATGCGGAGTCGGTAAATAAATCGGTTATTGTTTTAAATTTCTAATATCTATGAAACGCGATTGATTTAAATTGTGTTATTTACAGGAAAGTTCTATCTTTATACGAAGTAATAAAACAGATATAAAGATCTTTTTAATTTTAGTTAGTCTAAACTTATCAAAAATACGCCATATATGACTTTAAAATCATTTTTTTTTTTTCAAAAACCAATCACATCAAAACGTATGACTTTTCTACCTTTATACAACCATTCCTTACGGTATATTAAAAACTAGGCATTTTGATATCATAAACAACTACTTCCTTAATAAAAATGGGACTGGAAATTTTCATATCCCATGACAGATCATCAACAAAATTACTTTGTTAAGTGCAAGTCTCTGTAAGAATCAGGCAAAGTAGGTTTGAAAGTGAATCATGAGGGTTCTCAGAATTTGATGATTTTCAACATATAGATTTCTCTTGTGCTACATTCAATGTATGCAAAGTTAAAAAAGTTTTGGGTCATGGTTACTATGGAAACATGACAAAAGAAATTTCCTTAGCAACCAGTCAATTTTCCATGTGTATGGACAAAAAAATCACAAATCTTTAGGGCTTGAAATTTATTGTGAATATTTATTAATTTCTTCTTATTTATTCATATCGTAAAGATAAACATTTAAAGTGTTTTCACAATGCATTACATAGAAATAAGATTTATTTATCAAAACATCCATTTTTGTTGCTAGGCAACGGATTGGAATTTTCAAAAAACACACCTTTTTGAATTTAAAGTCCAAAAGAGACATTCCTCTGCTATTATGCGAAATACTTGCAACTCCTGTATTACGCCAGAAGTCTGAGTAATAAGGCTTTGAAAAGTACCAAAATCAACAAAAATGCTGAATCAGCAAAAAACACAAAACATGCATATCTACCCATGTCTAGTACAGATATATCTCAAAATCTTATTTCTATGTAATCCATTGTGAAAACACTTTAAATGTTTATCTTTAGATAAAAATAAATGAGAAGAAATTATGAAATATATTCACAATAAAGTATGTGGACTCTATATTTCTAATTTTGACTGACATATTTTATACCAATTGTTATGCCTTTGTTTTTATGCTAAATTTGACTACGAATTAATCCGTCTACCTGATCAGTACATAGGGCTCACGGCGGGTGTGACCGGTCAATAGGGGTTGCTTACTCCTCCTTGGCACCTGATCTCACCTCCGGTATTTCCGGGGGTCCGTGTTTTATGCCCTGATAACAGATTTTTATTGTTTTGTTTTGTTTTTTTTATAAATAATATATTTATTTTCAATAACATACAACAAAATATTGAGGCAAAACTTCCGCAGAAGCCCTCTGTATATACCTCACCTGGGGTGCCAGGAGCTCCCTGGATCGGTATTTTTATTATAATATTTAATTTACAAAATAATATACATTAAATGAAAAAAAAAACATATACGTATACATATCATTGCTGACATTTCATTTCTATATATATGCTTATCTATCATTGTATAATATTTTTTTGTAAATAAAAATAAGTATTATAGATGAAACATCTATACTTAATTTATATACTTCTCAAAATACATACACAAAGAAAATCATATTTGGTCAGCTAACTTTTTTAAAAGATGGTAATTTAATTGAACACTTTTTGCATCTTTTGCTATAAAATAATACTGATATAATGATGATTTTAAAACAGATAACATTGCATGTTCATTTACATTTTCATTTTGTAATCTACATTTCATTTTATACTTGTATAATTTGTAACCTACAACTGATATGACATTATTAAAAAATTTTGTTGTTTCGTTAAACTCATTAAAAAATCCTACAACAATATTTTTCCAGGATATATTTAATTTCAATATTTTTGATATTTTTTCCCATAATCTTTTTGAATCCGAACATTCTAAAATTAAATGTTCAATATATTCTACTTGTCCACAACTTGTACAATTTTTCCCCCACCTCTTTATTCCATTTACTAACATTATAATTACAATTCAGCTGGTTATGTAAAAGTTTAAAATTGAATTCTGCTATCTGTTTATCAAATACATTTAATATCTTAGCTGTATAAATATTTTTCCATTGACCATTTGTTATATTGAATTCTTTTGACCACTTCGTTTCCATTATTGGCTTTTGCTTCTTTTTAGAAAGTAGAATTTTATAATAAAATCCTGATTTTTCAAATTCTGGGTTTCTACTTTTTCCTTGAAAATAAAAATAGGGTTTTTGTATATTAGTGTTTTTTACATTACAGTAATCTATATTTAGCTTTTTAATTGCTAGTTTTTATTGTTTGTAGGTTTTGATCACTGTTAATTATCTTCACCTTTTTCATTATGACTGAATATTTTAAAGGGTTTTTATCACGTCTTAAATTTTTTTTGATGTGACAAAGTTTACATGCTATATATTTAAAAATCTTTGCTAGAAAATTAATATTTTTGATGTTTCAGCGATTCAAAGTTTGAATTTCTCAATATTCATATTTTGATCGCCGATGTAAACCGATCACGGAAGCCTAGTCCAATGGCGTTCAAACCTAAGACGTAAACACAGGTGGTGACTGTTCCTTCGCCAAGCAAGAGAAGTGAAAGTTGCGGGCCTTTCGGATCATACCTTAAAAACCGATGCCCTGTGTCACAGTAGGCGCTGGCACGATGAAGAACCCTCACTACTCAATGGTCCTGAGTGCCGAGTATAGGTCTAAATTTGCCATACGCTGACTCTCTGAGTGAAAATCTCGATCGGGACGTTAAACAACATACAATCAGTCAATCAATATTCCTGTATATTCCACAATTGATGTATCTTTTTACATCTGAAAATGAATTATAATTGTCCTCCAGTCTTTACTAAGAGTAAAGTGCAATTATAGCGAATGTCTGGAGAACATGAAAGTGCATAATTTGTCATAAGCTTTTTATTCAACTGATACTTCATTCCAATGATATACTTTTAATTAAAACTCCGTTATAAAGAGGAATTTACTTTCACAAGTGAAATAACTGTGACATGCATACAAGTACCTCTGGTCACGGTGGAACCTCGTGCTGGACATTTGCCCTTCAAGGTAAATTAAGGTTCACGCGACCTGGCATGACCTCTTGTTATCCACTTACATCTGATAAGACACTCAAGATTGCTTTGGTTTTTCACTTAATCGAAGTAATTATAGAGCAACCATCATGAAATCTTTCATCTTTGTAAGTATATCGAAAAATTTCATTACGCAAAGCACATTTCATATTTCCGAAATGTGTTTAAGACTTTTTTTCCTTCTTGGACTTTATATAAATATGATTTTAGAAATGACTTAGCATACTAGTATTTCGCACATTTTTTATGCAACTCGATAATCATGATTCATTATGGTTCGGAAAAATGACAGTTCAGATTGCAGACTGTACGAAACGGTCATTTTCATTTAGTCGGGACATTACTTGCGGGATGTTAATTCCAAATAGTGTAAATTTGTTTTTACGGATTCAATGCTGAAATTTCATTATACTGTCAAAAAAAATCATGACATCCTGAAAAATGGCCAAATCACGTTTTATTTTTAAAACACGCCCATTTCTTGACACAGTTCTGTGGTATTAAAATATCAATAAAGATTCAAAATATTGACAACATAAAATTTTTGTTGATTTTTTTTTAAATATGCACTCGCATTTTTCAAAATTTACCCCCCCCCCTTTCAACTTCATTTTAAATCTTATTTCAATATGCATTTTATTTAATTTCAAAATCTTCATCTCCTATGCTTTTGTTCACATAGGAAAGAATCGTGTAGTCTCATTCTCAACTATGCACGATTCTTTCTGTTTATCAATTCTAATGAACGATGTCTCCGTGATTACTAATCTACTGAATAATGTCAAAATACTATTTCTAAGTACTACAGTGCATTTTTGTCTAATGTGAATAAAATACAGACGAATGTTAACGTCTTCTTAATATACAATATTGTTACCAATTTTTAAACAATCAATTGATCAAACAATTATAGTTTCTCCAAGCTTTTCATATGGAACGCCTCAAATGCCTATTGTGCATAATATTTATCATGTGCCGAAACTTCATTATATGCTGCTAAATTGCCCTTTTATGCTACTTCATCATTCTACATTGACATTACCTATTGATTCTTGTTCGTTATTTAATGACATTTCTTCAAATATGCCTACACTTTGTCATTATATGCTGAAAGTTTGCTGATACTTCATTATATGATGATACTTTGATAATATATACTGATACTTTTCATAATGTGATGATTTTTGGGCATCTTCTGATGAAATTTATGTGAAATGTTTAAAACTAACAACTTCTGGAAAACAAGACAGAGAATCATTTCAACACTGTGGAAAACCTGTTGCGGTATTGGAGAAAGTGGATCTGCAACAAGCTTATGAACATTTTGAAGGTGAAAAAATAAACGCCAATTTTTTTTTTTTTTTTTTTTTTTTTTTTTTTTTTTTTTTGTAAGTTGTCTGACCAAGAATTTGAAGATATTGGTATTTCAAATAAAGCCGAAACGAGTTAGCATGGTGGGCTTTAAAAAACCAAATCGACGTCAGGGTAATGTTGTACTACTTGTATCTCTGTTATTGACACTGCTTGAATTGCTGATGCTGCTTAACTACAAGACCCAACCTGAAAGAAACTTCAGAAGGAAACTTGCAAATTCGGAATAAACAAGGGGCGGGGCTTTCGTGTCACTCGGAACCTTGTCAAAGTATCAGAATATGAGAAACGATCAACAGCAGTGTCAGAATATGAAAGAAGAGAATCAGAGTAAAAAAGATTAATAATCAGGCTGAGCATGATAATAACATACAAGAAGTATCAGTATATAATGAACAACTAGCAGCGCTCAATGTGAAAGTATCATTATGTAACGAGAAAAGATCAACACAGTAAATTAGCATCTATTACGGAGACGCATCAACATTCAAAGACAAATTATTAGCATATAGTAATGAAGTATCCAGCATATAATAAAAAGGTATCATTACAATATGAATAGAATAGATTTTCCATTTTCGGGCCTCATGAGGCATGACACATAACAATTATGATTTCATATAAATGCACATAATACAAAGAACTTACCTTAGGAATTAACTCATTGTTTAGTTAGTTTAACAATGTAGTCAAGACAAAATGCACATTCTAAGACTTGGTATCATATTGTACATAAGTTTGGCAAACTTATCATAAATTTTATAAGGTAACATTTGTGCAACGTAGTGAATATATCTTTATGAGTAGAAAATCACAAGTCTATAGGTCCTCTGTTACATGTTTATGAATATTAGCCACTTACATGTAATTAGGTAGTTAAATTTCACAAAACCACTCCTGAAACCAGTTCATTTGCTCTTTGTCTCAACCCGTGTGCTTCAAAAGGATACAACTTATAACTTTACGGGTATTTAGAAGAAACATATAATTGTAGGCAGATGAATTTAGGTAAATTGTGATAATTCTGATGATTTCAAGATTGAAGAAGCACGTATAAGATATGGAAAAAAAGTCAATACAATTTGGCATCCTTGTCCATACTACTTACCTGCTCACGAGGACCAAATGATTTTGAGAGCATGAACAGAACATTGTGCAAACTGATATAAAATGGGTAATAAATAGAACGGTTACATGTAACTGGTTTGAAAATGCTTCATACTGGGGACATTGCATATGATATATTTTCTGCTTTTCATAGAATTTTTTTTTTTTATTTTCTGTTGTCCGTCCATATGATGATAATAAAAACATGATGTACAGTGACATGAGTTCATGCTAATTTGCTCGTTTTAAGCTAAAGGCACAAATTCGAATCTATAAAATAATTAATCTAATGTGTTTTATTGCAGCTTGCAGTGTTTGTGACTCTTGCCATGGCTGACCAGTTCTTGTTGGACATCAATCAGGTAAACTTACAAAAAATTCAGGTTTCCTTATTAAAATCTTAAAATAAATATTACATTTGAAACAAACTACATAATTTTAAAATTAGAAAACTATAAAACAAATCTTTTAAAAACAATTGTATCAGTCAGATTTGATTGCACGTTCAAGATAAAGGTACGTGTATCTTAAATTCAGAGCACAGTAGTCATGAAACAAGGAAGTACGTGTTATTTCTGGCGGTTAAACAGCCATGAGGCCGAGGCTGTCCAAAGTCCCACTGGAATTTACGAATTAGAGGTAGCTATTTATTTATGTTTGCATTTCAATGTAAAAGATTCACGTATCTTGGTACTTATCCTCAATTTGTATTCAATATTTTTTTTTCAGACAAAGTTCCACCATTTACTCAGTGTGCATTCCAAATTTGGGGACGTAACCGACATCAGTATTTACTCACAAGATATCCAAAATCTGTGTAGTGGTGCCACTTTGAAGTCATACAGTCATCATCATTAATACTATTGGAATGGCATATTCTACCTGATTAATCTTTAAAAATAAATACATCATCATTTTTGTATTTTTCTGATTTCAATTATACTCTTATTTCATATATATGGTAAAAATATCACAGGAAAACAGAATTTGTAATTTTGTTATTCAAGTTTGCAATTCAATTAAAGTTCTATTTGAACACATTTCATCGTAAAAGTGTTCTCAGCAATATAGTCTGAATCTCTGCTATTGTAAACTGTAGTGTGTAGGTAGAATTGCACATATTACTGAACACTCCATACGACAGGTGTTATAGCCGTCGCCACAAGGATTTTAAAATATCGACCAGGAAATTGTTATCCTTCTTCTTACAACTTATGTTCAGTATTTGATTGACTGGTTGTTTCTTTGTTGTTTTACGTCCCAATCAAGAATTTTTCACTCATACAAACGTCACCATATACCGGTAAAGGGCTTCAAATTAAGATCTTTACTCAGCAGTCAGGGCCATTGAGCAGTGAGGGTACATTTTCGTGCCAACGCCTACCATGACTATGGGCAACGGTTTTTAAGGTCTCATCGGAAAGACCTGCAACTCCAACTTCAAAGTGCCGAAGCGCTTGGCGAAGTTGTTACCTATTTTTTATCGACTTAAATCTGTTGCTGCCGGGGCTTGGACAGTATAATCAAACGTATCAGTAAAAATTTACAAATCAAACATCTACTAACAGAAAATATACTATATTGACAGATGGCATGAATAATAATTGGCTCTTATCAAACATTAAAATATGGTTACAAAAACTACTTGTTATTTCTGAGACCTCTGAGAAAATATGCATTCAGAAACAGTAGGGGATTAACACTTAGGTAATATTAAAATAAGATAAAATTAAAACTGTTTACATGTTCATGAGCTAGAGATGATACGACGCTAAAGAAATACAATAACGAAAATCTATATATCCTTTAAGGATTAATATTAAACCACATAAAATAAAAAAAAAATTCTGTATTCCATCGCATTTCTTTGATATATACAGCAAATATAATTACGATAATCCTTTACAGTTGTCTTCGTAACAAGGCACACTGTACACAATAGTGTTCAATATAATAGAAAATGCGCAACGCAATGTTCGTTGAAATGCAGATAACCTTCTGACACTGTCTGTACCTATTTATAAGAACAGCAAGAAAACGGTCGGCTTTCTCATAACCTTTGGATTATTAAGAAATAACCATCATGAAATTTTTAATCTCCGTAAGTTTTTATTAAGATTTTATAAGATTGCACCTGTATGGATATTGTTGTAAAGCATCTTCTGAGAAAAAGTAAAAAGATAATTGAAAACTTGTGTAATTTATATTAAGGAACTGTTCTATGTGAAAACTTAATCTTTTGGCACACATGATCATGGATTTTCTTGAAACTTGAAACATCCTGCAAACTTAAACCATTAAATTTTTGGTTGCTGTGGATTTCCGTTTCCATGGGAGCGGACCTTGCAAGTGAAAAAAATAATTTTGAACTTTTTTTTAATCCCCATTGTTCACACGCCATCAATCGTCGAAAAATTTCGTCTATTATATTCCGTTTACCACTTTCTATCCGTCCGGGAAACTGCCGAAAATTAAGCATAAGCCTTGATATTCTCAAATGACGACATAATATATAGTTACTATGGTGATTTTTTTAGCGTGCCCTGATTTATTCACTAATTTCATTTCGAAATATTTCTCATGTCTTCTTTGACGAAACTCTAATTTTTGGGTCGTGCATCCTAGGACCACATCCACATGTACACATTCAAGTTCAATAAAAATCCTTATTCTTGTCTAAATTTAAAAGAACATTTTAGATATACAATATACTTAAATATGACAGATAAATATCTTATTAAAATTTCTGCTTAGTGCGCCTATTTCTTTTTCAATAAAACGCGTTGACTACGATTTTACCGGACAATCCTCGTATATTCAAAATGTCATTATATACACATATGTTTTTACGGTTCCATTTCCAAAATAACTATTTAACCTTCAACAAATTCTAAAGGGACATAGGCACAGATTTGAAGTTAATATTTTTATCAAATTTTCTGTATAATATCATGAATTATATGTTGCTATAGCATTTCGTGCTCATTGATGTGTGCAAAGGTTTAACAAATTGAACGCACCCGTGAAACGTAAACATTAACAATAACAAGAGCTCGTGTCCTGTTTACAAAAACAGTTGACGTTTCGCCGGGTGTGATACACAACAAAATTTCTAACTTTCTTAAGTATTAAGGATAAAGTTTACTTTGTGAAAGTGCAAGGATGTGTCAATCAAACGCGTCCCAAAATTCGTAGTTTCAATAATTTCTAGATACAATCAGTTTTTTAATTATATTTCCGTGAGAAATGCTAAAGCAACATGTAAGTCATTATGATATAAAACAGATTTGAGAAAATATTAACTTCAAATCAGTGTCTATGCCCCTTTAAAGTACATTTTCTATCGTTTGTCAATATTATCAACTGTAAATGTTCAAAAGAGTTAAAAAAAAAATATTCATTGAAAATCGCACAGGTAAAAATGTGAATTTTCCCATTTTCCCATGATAATAACCAGACCCCCCTCAAAAGTTTTGGGAATATGAAAAACAGTCTTAAATATTGATTAATTAGATTTCAAAATCGTCAAAATTTTTCATTTATTCTTTACCTCCCAGATTTTTAAAAAAAATATTTCTGGAAGCAAGCCTTCATGGTATGTAAATTTTTGGGAAATTTGTGAACCTGCTTGCCACATCCCTTATGTAAATATGCAAGGGTATAAAACTACGATTTTCACTTAACTGTAAATTGCAGTGTCAGTGTCATTCTTTTCAGAAATACATTTCATAAAGTTCGTGAAGAAGAAAGACATAGTTTACTGTGTCAAAGTTATAAATATGAGTGGTGCTATTTGATGGTGTCTGGCATCAATTTGTACTTCTGAGCAAAGTTTATTTTGAATACAGAGGCCACGTAATAGATACATCATTATGATTAAATAAGTTCAAGAAAATGATAAGCAAGTTATAACATTCAATCAAATTTACAGGGCGCCTCTCATGAATTTCAAGTGGAATAGTCTCGCTTGAAATTCAACTTTAGAAATTTTATTTTTCATTTACTAGTAAGCCATTTTCACGTATATTAAGTTTTAAAAGGAAGATGTTGTCTGATTCAAATTCTTTCATATATGTAACACAATGAACAAAACCCACTATACTGCCACACTTTGATATATCAAGATCTACGTTTTTCCATTACCTTTGAGTATAAAATATCCCAGCTTAAGCAAATTAAATCCATATTTTTTCACTGCTTTAATAGGTAATATTTATCTCTTCTTAGCTTTCCCTCCTCGTGGTTCTAGTAGCTGCTGATCAATTCTTACTGGATCTCTCCCAGGTAACATTGTATCCAGTAGATCCTCGTCTCTCCAGCTGCAGAAAAGTTCAAATTACAAAAAACATTTCAATTTTACTGCTTCACACCAATTTCAAAGTTATTGACTTGAAATAAATTTAATAATTTTTTAACCGTGGTTTAATATTTTAGGATACCGCTATTATGAAACAAGGCAGCATTTGTTATTTCTGGAGACTTAACAACCATGAAATTGAATCCGTTCAAAACCCTACTGGAATTCATGAAATTGAGGTATTAATGAAATTTACACTAGTATTAATTTTGCATTTACATCAATGATTAGAATTTTTTACATCATGATAGAAGTTTCCAAGCATCTGCATAAAGTATTATTTTAAAATCATACATACATAGTTGTTTCCATAAGCAGAGTTCCAAGATTATTCTATGTTTCCATGAATGCAGAGAGATAAACTGAATGTTAATTATATACCAGTATCGCATCTTTGTATAAATCACTGTAAGTATTATATATTAATTTTCAGACTAAATTTCAGCACCTGGTCAGTGTTCATACAAAATTTGGAGACATAGCTGACATTACTGTATATTCAAAAGCCGTTCAAAATCTCTGCAACGGTGATACTTTAAAATCTTATTCTCATCACAAATAAATTTGAAGAAAAATATCTGGACGATTTTACTTGTGAAACATCACTATATATGTGTTCTTTACTTTGAACATAATTAAAACTATGTAAATCTTGTTAGTTTGTAAAAATTCTTTTAAAAAATATTCATACTTTATCAAATACCATTGGTGTCAAAAAATACTGGATTTATTTTCTAAGTTAAATTTAATATTTCGGGGTTTTTGCGGGATACAAGTATATACAATGCCAAAACATAAATGCAATGATATACAATTATGGACTCTTTCAGTGGTGAATATGGTTTGTTATTCACCAGAAAAATATCAATATTGACCGAGGCGAAGCCGAGGTATTTTTCTGGCGAATAACAAACCATATTCACCACCGAAAGAGTCCATAATTGTTTTATTATATAGTCCGGATTTGAATAAATAAGACATTGAAGGCTGCATGATGATACCACTTCCATTTACGAACTTCTGTCGTAGAAAAATAAAGAAAAAATGTCCAGATTACAAGTTATAACTTTCGTGTTTTCCTTTTGCTGTTTGTAAGACATCGTAATGTTTAGAAAATAATCCAGCGATAGGCTTGGCAAATGTTTTTCCTGCTCAGATACACAGCTTGCTCCGGCCGTTGTAACCATCGTTTACAACGTTGGTTGAGGTGTTGATTGTGACGTCACAATGCCGCTGCACGCGCACCGACCCTCCGGTGAATACGGCTTCAAAACCAGGTTATGAACTGTTTGCGTTTGTATAGATTTTATAGAGACTATAAATAGACTACATGTATATAATAAAATGAATTATATTGCTTGTCACGCCTTCTTTGATTTCAAATATCAATTTATTATATTATTGTTCGGGATATCGATGCAAACCTTGCACGTAAGAAAGTATTTTTTGTTGTATTTTTTCTGGAATTATTCTGCAGCATTAAGAGAGTATCAACTTTACATACACCTGCATAATATTACGATTCGGTCAACTTCAACTATATAGCAGTTAGGAGTATTGTAATAAATTGAGAAACGAAACCTGGAAATAATTTAAAGATGCATTTTTGTGATGCCTTAATGTCAAGAACTGTTAAATATGAATCAATTTACATTGTACTATGTTACCCTTCTGAATCTGTCTTCTAACTAGAATCAAGGGAAAATAAAATGACACAGATTTAGTATGAGACTTACTTAATTTTAACTATTTTGATACTTCTTACAGTGTGGTAGTACATCAGTGAGCAACTAGTATCATTATGTAAGTTATTTTATTCTGCATACTTTATCCGATGATCATATTGAGACAGTGACTTTCCTCGACTCATATCAAAGAAACCCTCAAAAGCAATGTTTCCAGAATTTAAGAGTAGGTCTGACTTTTTGAGAGTTTTTAAGATTTTTAAGTACTATTGCATTTTTCTAAAAATAAAAATGATATCAAAGTAAGTAAGTCAGGTTTTGAAAATTTGAAATTTGAAAAATGAATGACCTTTTTATACCCCAGCTTGAAGCGCTGGGGGTATATATTGATAGGGTGTCCTTCCGTACTTCTCTCCGTAACACTTTGGGTACCCATACCCTATCTGCAACTCCTCCTATACATGTACCACTGAATTAAATTCAATTAGACTCTCATATAGTCTTCATTACATATCCATTGTGCACCTCCTATTTTACTTTTAATCAAGATATTTGGGGTTAACCATAGTAAACATGGATACAACCATTCTTTCTAGAACATTTGAGGTACCAATCTCTTATCTGTAACTCCTATACCATTGAATTAAAATTTAATGATACCTTTACAGATTCTTTATTACACAGTGCCGCTGAATAAAATTTAATGGACACTTTCAAAGAATTTTTACTACAAAGTGCCATTGTGCATCTTCTCTTTTTAATTCTGGTCGGACAGATACATGTATTTGGCGTTTACAATAGCAAATCATGATATCGCCATTCTTTCTGTAATGTAAAGGGTTACCCATCTCTTATCCGCAACTTTTTGTATACCACTGAATAGAATTTAATGAGGCTTTCACAAAATCTTTAATTATTACATAGTAACATTGTACACCTCCAATTTTATATTTTGATCTGACTGTTATTTGGGTTTCTGATAGCAAAAAAAGACATTGCCATTATACTCATAGCGGGAAGCGGGGATATCATTTTCTGAGCTCTGTGCTCTAGTTTTTTAGTTTCGCCTTTTTCAAAAAAAGTATCTATGCTGTATTCCTAGAAATTGATTTGTCTCTAGATTCATGGAACTTGTCTGGTTTATTAATCAAATCGTGTGTGTTTTATTCAAACGATCGAAAAGCCCAATTACGGTTTTTTGTTCTCAATGATTTGATATCAAAATAGACAATATCTCTAATTATAATGTGTTAATACAGTTTCAATATAACAAAATGAAAACATTAATAGACGAGATAGGTTTTTTCTGAGTGACTTAATTTATTCTTACATATCATAGCAATGTTGATTTTTTGCATATTCTTTCAAATATATTTGTTACTGAAAAAAAATTCTGGAAACGCTAGTATTACAAAAGGTTCATTTATAATACTAACAGTCCTTCAATTTATTTGAGATACGCAAAATGTGACCTTAAAATGCAAGAAAAATGAAAGGAAATGCCGGGCTTCTGAAATAATGCTTGTGAGAAATAATAATACATAAAATATGAAATATTTAACAGCTGTTTATTTGTATGGTTCATCCATTATATAAGGTAAGAAATAAGTGAAAAAGAATAAACGTAATCATATTATTGATAAACCTAACCATTTTGAAAATAGACATGATTTTCACTCGATCTGACTAAAAAAGATTATAAGATTGAAAGAGTCTGTTAGAGTTCATATGTTATATCCAATCCAAGTTCTGCTATTTTGGGTCCAAATGACTTATCAAAAGCCTCATTTTCAGCCACGGTATAATAGTTTTTCCAGTCTCCAACACCACCTAAGCAATAAATAAATTCCACCAAAAATTATTCATTCATTATTTCACCTTTAATGTCTCAAAATACTCTGAATCTACATGATTCTTCTAAAATAATTCAAAACCCATAACGTTTTCCTTGTTATTACTGCCATCCTATGTCAAAATGAAAACCCCAGCGGGACGTTTTTTTCAATTATTTTTTTTCTCTCCAAACCCTTATCATACCTTGCTCTAACTTTAAGGTGCACTTCTTTCTTTCAATATTCTAGATTGCCCTTATTGAAGACGAGGAAAACATTCTTAAGAATCGTCTTATTTTTGCATATTCTAACATTTTTTGTGCTAGCTACATTTGATTGGAATGGTTGAGAGGTTATAATATGCTCATTTGAGCTTTCAAATAAGGGGAAAAAGTAAAGCGGGGAAAAATCAAACCTTTTCTGTAAAAAAATATGTGAATTTGAATTTTTCTTCTCTGTAATTTCTGACATTTCCTTGGGAATAGTTGAATTTTTATAGGTAGACATGATATCAAAGTCGCATTTCCTGGCTATTTCTTCGATCAGTTTTGGAGAAGAATTAAGATTGAGAAAATCTGACATTCTTTTAACAGCTTCCTTTAGATTCTGCAAGATAAATTAAAATATTTTTGGAAAAATTCGAATTGCAAATTTATTTATTAAGAATAAACAATATGAAAGCGGAGTATGGACAAGATAAGCAAATGCAAGTCTCTCATAAACCCATTGATTTACCGTGGTTTCATTAATTTTTGTTTAATTTCAAATTTTTGTTGTTCTCATAGTTGAGCCAGAAAACAGAACAGGTGATCAACAAACTACAAATTTTACCATTTTTAAAATAGGACAGGGTAGTTGACCACGAATCAACGAACATTTTTTTTCTCCATACCAGGAAATTTGATTCCCACGAAAATCAATGTCACCATCCAACATGTACTAGTACAATGTATTTGAAATGTAATTTATACTTCCCTCTCCGAAGCTGATTAAAATTTATGCGAGATATTCCACTAATGATTTCAGCAGAAACTGATGCTAAGGCGGAAAGGGAGATTGTCAATCAAAAGAAAAACATAGAAAAAGAGCAAATTATATTAATCAAATTATTTTATATTTGTGTGAAACTCAAACTTTCAATATTGTCCCGTATAATTTTAGCGAGGACAATTCAGTTCCCTGCGAAACAAAACGTCGATTTTTTAATGGTCTTACATTACTTGGCTTAAACTTTACTATATTACACTCTTTTATCTATTACAAAATAGTCTACGAAAACGTTAATGGTATCACTGACAAAAATGCATAGTACATTTGATTCTGGATTTAGTTTTTGAGTGAAATGGATATAATATTTTGGTTTTACATGCTAGAAACAATTTTTTTAAAAGAATTGATGAAGAGAAAGAAAATTCTTATCTGTTTCGAATGAATTTTAAGAGAGATTAACTCCATCCTCTGATATGAGGTTAGCACTGTGGCACAAGACAAACGTCGCCATACACATTACAAGAATTGGAGTAGAATACTAGACTAAGTATATCTATATCACACAGAAATAAGTGCTTCCAGTAGCCCAATTTAATTTTTGCCATAGGCGTCATTCATATTCAGCATTTTAAAATAGCGTCAATTTTTTAAAATATCAAAAACAAAAAATTGAGAACCCATGCGTTTGATAGATCTTTTGTATCTGAATGATATGGATCATATAACAAAAAAGTGTTAAAAAGTCCAAATTTTAGCACTTTGCAAAATTATGTCTTTTTGTTTATGACTTTCGTAGAATGGCGGTAAAGTTGAAAGTAACGTTTAAAATTTTTGATTTTAATTCGAAAGAATCATATTCCCTTAAAAAAATTATATGTCAAAAACTATTTTATATTATGCAGCGTATTATTCCTATTATGCGTTTCATTTTTTGAAGAGTATGTTACCCTTTTCATTTCCTCGTAAGATATCTCTAAAAGTGGATAATCCGGATTTTCTTTCTGAAATGTCTTCCATTCCTGTAGCCATTTGACCCAACCCCCACATGGAACTATAAATAAAATTTTTAATTAAGCTCTATATTCTTTGAACTGAAACTATTTTCTATGATGCTATAGAAGTTCATTTGAATGAACAATTAAACGATATATTTTAGGAAATACTGGTAGTATATTTTTAAAAACATTCATTAATGATTTACATACGTACATCTACAAATTAACTTGAAAAATATCATATATATACCTTCTCCACTGACGAAATGTCTCAAAAATTCGGGAAAACTCATATCCGCTGTATTGTAAAATATCAGTTTTTTGCTGAAGTTAAAGTATGACACTGCAACATCTTTTGGATTTCGATAAACTTGGATGATCTTGCAACGCTTTTTCACCAAATCTCTTGGCAAGTGTCGCGGATACATATGTGAGGAATGGACACCGTTCTTTTTCTGAGCGGCCTCTATATCCGTCATCGGGCTGTTTTCGAAGATAGGCAGCATACTGTTCATAAATTCCGAATTGCCATTCTTGAGCATGTTACATATCTCGTATGCCCAGTGTGTACCTGAAATATTTATCGTATAAACAAAAATTTGATAGGGAGAAAATTATCCAGGGTACATCAGTTTGGTTCCAATTCTTCAGTCAGCAATACATGTTCTTTTTAATAAGCGAACTGTCGTTCTTTACTCTCCAAACACTCATATTATCCAGTAGGATATGATATCTTTAACTAAATAAACTATTTAAATAATGGCAGTCATCAGAAAACAAAATTTTTAACAACAATGAAAGAAACACGGCCTAGCGACATCTTTACAATCTATTTTGATTTTAGGTGTCGTAGTTATTGTAATCAATTTTTAAGGATAAATAACACAACCAAACTTTTTTCAGAAATCGGCAATATTTTTCATAGATTTATATTCAAATAGGTAACCTGAATAATGTTTGCCGTGTAAAGTGGGAGAATTTTGTAAGAATTTGTCACACTGTTAAAATTATGTGCAAAACAAAGTCGCCTATTCTAGCACCAAAGAAAACTTACGAATTCTTTATATTTTAGGGATTTATTATTTATGTCATTTTTATTCAAAATCAGTCAAAAATATATATCAATCCAGGCATCAGATTTTTGTTTGTGTTATGTATTCTTAAGGAATCAATATGATTTATATTTTGTAGAAAATGGAGGATTTACTAAATAGAATTCACAAGAATCCTATGTTATTCATTTAAATATCTCTGTTTATTTTCATATATTAATCCTGAACTTCAAAGAAAGACACATCTAAATGATAGACTGTTCAACTTCATATGAATGATTGGACGTAAACACTGACCTTTAGACAGTCTACAAACCTGACTTTGGGTACGAAACTATACACATTTCTTCATCTTTAAACGTGAGCTCATTCAGACCAGCCAGGAATTTAGAAACATCTACGTCCCGTTTGGCCGAAAGAAAATTTGGAAAATAATACCCATCATAGTCCAGTACTTTTGCAAATGATTCCCCTTTATCATTCAACAAATTCTTCATTTCTAAAGAATTGATGATCAATAAAAATTTATCAATAAAATGGTGTGTAACAAATAATCCGTTTTCCATTTATATTGAAGATAAATATTTAAATTCATTACCCATCAATAATAGAACTAGTAACTTCTCTTCTCATGCAGTAAAGAAGATATAAAGTATAAGAACATAATGTAGAGGTCAAAAATCAGAACTTGTATTATTTGATGGCCGTCGACATTTAAGATTTAAAAATCCCCCAAGTGTAGATTTTAAATAAATGTAATAAAATTTACCCCTAGTCCATTCTTATCTATTATGTATCAAAATGCTAACGGATCAAATCAAAGTTGGTATGATGTAGTGGTTGTGGCTATTAAATGTAAAAATATACAAAACCCGTGCATATCAACTGCGCCATGTTAACAGTTAGAATTAAAGCATCAAAATTCAAAGAGAATTAGAATAAAAGTAAATTGTAACGTAAAGAGCATACTAACCGAGAATATAGCAGTCATTTACAGCCTGTAAAATGCTACTACAAATGACGTTAGATGAATATATGAATATAGTATCACTTTCAATTTTAAAAGATTACAGTTTTGCAAGGGGGGTAAACGTTACATGCTTTTTACAGTGGGACATTGCTCATGAATATGCACGATATCTATTTATATATACATGTTACAAGGGCTCGACAATTGCTTATCTGTTCATTTATAATGTGTTTTTTTTGAAAAATAAATAAAAGCTGACCTACTCACGATTAGTCATAGAACAATGATTCCCTATACAGCCTCGTTTTTAATACAGCAATGTGAGTTTGAACACTTTTTTAATGAAATGTCTCAAGTGCTTTGAACATGAACATAAATATGACGAATTCTGGAATGTTTGGAAATATACATTTACCCCAATGACGATAGACGGTGCTAAAATATACAAACCTTCCGAATTTTTTGGCGGTATATGTCAGGTATATGGATAGAATGGATAACAAGGGAAGTTTATGAAGCAATTGTGCAAGGGCACAATATGGTTATAGTGGGTAGGATGGGACAGGAAAAGCTTTTGAAAGAAATCGTAATAAAAATTGATGAAATAGGATAAAATTTGGAATTCTTCAATAACTTATAGGGTGGAGGATGGAAACAAAGATAATTGACTCTTTTAGTAAAAGATGAACATTCAGGCCAAAGAAAGTTTACAAGTTTACAATGTCTGATAACTGACGAAGTTCCGATAGAAATTCATCTGCATACTATTTACCGAAAATATTTATGTCCAACTTTTCAATAGAAAATGATGAGTAAATCTGAATAAAACGCAGATTTCCAACTCATATTGAAGGAGATAAAAACTATTTGAAATAATTCACGGGAGGAAAGACTTGCCATAGAAACAATTTGTCCTGTAATGCTTATTACAAATATCAACAATTTTTGTTGGAACTATGCAGAGGTTGAATGGTGAAAATATTTATGTATCACTTAATATTGCAAGGGTTTTAAACGTTTTGCTTTGGTCCTGTCTCATGAAGCACTATGGCCAAGCTAATTCAGTATTCATTGACCTTAGTTTACGGATTGAATTGTAATTAGTAAATCTAGATGAAGTTCTCGTAGACTTAAAAAAAATGAAACAATATCAAGTCCAGTTGGTATGGCAGTGCTCTAACAAAAATACTATAGTTAAGTGTAGTTTGCTATAGTTAACTATAGTTCACTGTAGTTTAATATAGTATCAAAGTTTTTCTACTATAGTAAATCAAAGTATTTTTACTATGGATCTCAGATTGTTATGTTTTTTGTTCTTTAATTCATACTTGCACATATTTTATATAAAATGGAATTATTATTTGTATTTTCACATATTATTTCCAAATTTTACATAAATGTTATCAAATTTCAGAAATTTTAAATCTCAAAAAAAAGTTTCAGAGTAAAGTTTCATAATAAATCAAAGTATCAAAGTTTTTACTATTGTTAACTATAGTATAGTTTACTATAGTAAATTTTTGTTAGGGTGGGTAGAGTCAAATCTGTCGATTGCCTCTATGCAAAAAACTGTTACTGTTTCTGAAGAAAATCTGAAAAAAAAAGATTTGTAAATGTTCTGGGACATACAGTCCCTAGCCATACCCTTAAGCTACTGATTAAAGCTTTGTTTTTTGATTGCATTCCATGGGATTTTCAGGTTAGGTGAATTGATTATAAGATAAAAAAAAGTCAGAAAGTCTATTTCGAAGGTCAGATGAGCATGTTGAAGTAGTAAATGGCACGTTAAAACATGTCCAATTACTCCAATTAGTTTGGGGCTGCCTAGGTTTACTTTAGAAGCTCAAACACATTCATTCATGTCCAGTTCATGCATTTTTTCATTATCTAAAGCATTGATTCCACTCTTTTGAACCTCTGTTCCACTTTCTAGATGGTTGCCCTGTGTCTTACTCCTTTGTCTTAAAAAAATAAGTAAAGTAATCACATTTATTGGTTTAGATCCAAAGCAATAAAAACTTCGCATCTTTAGAATTGGAGGGGCTATTCATGCATCAAAAGAGGGCTTTTCAGAAAATGCTGTTCAAAATTGGGTAGATGAAAGTCAGATGCTGTCAAGCATTTCATTTGCCTAGGTTCATTTATTGTTGTAATTCATTAATTGAGTATTCTTGTTCTAATTGATGTATGCTATCTCAACCTTTAGGTCCAGGTAGTTCAGATTAAGTCTGGTATCACCCCCATTTATTTGTAGTTCAGATTATGTCCGCTACCAACGCACCCTCTAATATTTCAGTTTTATTTTTGTTACAACCTCAGTCCTTGGTGACAATTTTACAGATACTAATGATATGTATTTATCCATTTATTCTGTGTCTCTTTGTGTTGCTGGCCACCTGACAAATCATTTAATTAAAAACTGTTAATTTGATAATTAACTTCTTTTTTACTTTCCTCTTTCAATATGTTTAATTAAGTGTCACCAGTTCATTTTTACGAAATTTTATTTTTTTTGTTATTGATATCTCTGGGTCATCGTCCCATAATTTTAAAACATTATTTGTGTGCATTTTAACTCAGAGAAATGAGCAATCGTAAAAAAAATGGAAAGAAGACCCAGAGACCGACAAAATAACTTTTTCCAAAAATAAAAATACATCTTGTAAATGTGCTGCTTCATTGTTGTTTTAAAATCCAATTGTTGTATGTAGCGACGGTAGCACAGTGATATTCGTTTCCCGTCCCTGACGGTCATGAATCAATAAATATTTTTTTATCCTCACTTTGGGCGTTTATTTTTATATTTGAAACACACATCCTAGTCATTTATCAGTTTGTTTTTATTTACTAATGATTGTTATTATTATAATTTTTTAGAACTTTAAAATAAAGTGAAATTTTGATTTCTGTTGCACCGAGACCAAAAGCAAGTCTTCCGAAATTTTAATACATTTGCGTTTATCTATACCCAATAGTATGATAGATGTTTATAATTATGAAAATATGTCACATGTCTTTTTTTAACCGTTAAGATAAGCAGACTTAAATATTACACTTTTTGACAAGGTATTTCAAAATAATATAACCTTTTATTTATCTGCATACCTTTCGTGAAGTCTTCGAATTCCCAGCTATGATCAGCAGACCAAATCATCTGCTTGACTTGGACTTTTTAGCTATGAATGATTCGTACACATGACTCATGCAGATTACACGCCAAATACGTCCAACTTCTTTGGTGAGAAATGACATCTGAAGTAATATTATTCCCGCATTCAATTTTCTACCCACAAAACACCAAAACGATAATTACATCTATTTTTTTTATTTTCCAACCCAAATATTTCTTTTGTTTTTAGGTCGTCTGAGTCACTCAAACCACCTACTGCTATCTGTTTTTGTCATCCGCCGTATGTGCCTTAAAACATTTGAACATTTTTAACTTTATCTCTGGAACCGCCGAACTAATTTCAACCAATTTTGGCATAAAACTTCTATGAAAAAAGGGGAATAAGATTTTTGAATTTAATGGTCCCTGTCCCAGTAGAGCCTGAGGGATGGAGATAAATCCATCAAAATTGATTCATCAACAGTGCCTTAAAACATTTGAACATTTTAAACTTCTTCTCTGGAACCGCCGAACTAATTTCAACCAATTTTGGCATAAAAAAACTTCTATGAGAAAAGTGGAATACGATTTTTGAATTTAATGGTCCCTGCCCCAGTAGGGCCTGAGGGATGTGGATAAATCCATCAAAATTGATTCATCCACAGATCCTTAAAACATTTCAACATTTTTAACTTCTTCTCTGGAACCGCCAAACCAATTTCAACCAATTTTGGCATAAAACATTAATGAGAAAAGGGGAATAAGATTTTTGAATTTAATGGTCCCTCCCCCAGTAGGGTCTGAGGGATTGGGATAAATCCATCAAAATTAATACGATATTTGAAAATCTTTTTTTTTTGACTCCTGCACATCAAGCAGTTGAACTTTTGCCATGGTTGTAATAACAATTGAACTATCTACTAACAATGTGAAATTCAAGGCCCCATGGTCAGGGATTTTGGAATTACGGCGGGTCTCTAATGATAATATAGAGAAAAATAAATTCAGCAAAAATCTCAACCCCTGTATATTGAACAGAGGTGCATGGCTATGATGGTGCCTTTTTCTAAATTGCGAAATTTGTGGCCCAAGGGTCGGGGATTTAGTAGGGGAGGGGACTTTATTGTTTTAAGTGAAAATGCACTATCTATTTGAAAATCTTCTTCTGTGCTCCTGGGTATTAAGCAAACAAACTAAGTGCATAGTAATGATGAGCGAGGGTCCCTCTTTCAAACCTTTTAAATTCATGACCCCTGGGTCAGGATTTCTGGTGTTAGGATAATATAGTGAAAATGCATCTAATCTCTGATAATAGTTTTCTTTACTCCTTGGAATTTAGCAGATAATTTAACTGCAATGTTATGATAAACAAGGTGCTTCCTCCACAATTGTGAAATGCATGATCCAAGTCAGGGGTTCTGGTGTTAGCTTGGGGTTC